CGCTTGTCGAGGCGCCACTTGCAATAGCTCTGTGATTAGGTCTCCCCCGACCCCTTCTTTCCGCCATAAGATGTTTATGCGTACGGTGAATAGTTTGCGAGATATTTCGATTGCACAACTTACCCGTATGCTCAACTAGCCCCGCCCTACCCTAATGTTTTTTAATTATCCTGCTCGTTAAATTAGGGCCACATTAATTAAGAAAACAACGGGTGCATTCACATAATTTATTTTTATTTAAAGTCAGCAAACACGCCCATCAAATGTCATGGTGTTTTATTTTTAAACGCCCCTTTCAAATGCAAGAACAAGTCGAGTTCAAAACGAAATAATTAAAACATAAATACATTTAGGACAAAGAAAATCAAATGTGACAACTAATTTAGTCCTTGCTTAAACAGAATTATGTAACAGCAAATTATTGTACGAGTATGGAGCATCTACATCTAAATTTAATGAACTGAACAACTCGACTTTTGTTCTGGCTATTCAAGTATCTAATTTGGGCATGTTCATTAATAATTTCTGATTCGTTTCGAAATAACATTGGTGATAATGGCCAAAGCATATCTTTGTGCGAGCAGGAAATAGGAAATGATATAATTTAATACGATGAATTGATGATAGATAGCAGGGGTGTATTCAGCGGGAGGCACGAAGGCGAGTTGAAAAAAATTATAGGAAGGAAATCTTAAGTAATGTTTACAAATGAAAATTATGGGTTCGTGAACCTCCGTTGGGTTGGGCCTACGTACATTTTTACGATATTTAAAACTGCTGTCGAATAAGTGAAACTGCGGCGAAAGTAGGCACTTAGGTACTAAATCTGCTCGTTTATTTAAATTTTTCAATCCATATTCGGAACTTGATGGTCGTGAATAATATTATGATACTTAAAGCTTGTTCAAACAATCAAATGGTAATGTTTAATATTTATTTAACTATAGTTATGCATAAAATATTGACATAACTCAACAAATAACATAAAAAATTAATAATTTGATTGCGGGAAATTTTGTGATTTTAAGAAATACCTATTGTAATGCATTCAGTGAAAAAATTAATCGTGCAATTTGCTTATTATCTTAGAACTATTTTCACGGTATCTTGTTACGTGTTTTGCAGAGTTATGGTGTTGTCTTGAGGTCTAATAGTATAATACTGTTTTATCAAGAACATATCTAAGCTTGCCTGGAATAGTAATTATTTAAATCTCCTCTTTATTCTCTATTTAATAACCGTTTTTTTATCAATTCAATCCTCGAGAAGGCGTTTATTTCAGAAATTATTTAGATATTCACTTCGAATGCCACGACTTCACTGCTAAGTTATTTATTCAGTTTGTAATTTGTATGGAGTTTGTTTTAGTTTCAATCAATATGTTGAAGTCCACATAGGTTTAAAGTTAATTATTCAATAGTAAGTTATAAATGCAATAAATTAAAATATACATTCATGAAATTTATAAATATGACATAGTTTATAATAAATTCAAATGTAGATGCTTAACTAAAATACTATTTAATGATAAGGATAATACCGTGTGTAATTCCAACGGGTACTTGTAACACTTGTCGTGTATATGTAGATAAATCTTCGTAATATTGTATTATGCGTTTTACGTAACATGCATTGTTGCATTTGTTGAATTACTCGTGGCTTGAAATTACATTAATATCTATATTATTTTGTTCATAATTATTAATTAAACGATTAAATAATAAATGTCTTAATATTCTTCAAAAAATCATCATAATTTTCATTGGCAAATTGCTTTGAGAAGTCGCAGTTAAATTTATTTGAAAATTCGAATTTTCGGTGGTCTTCAAAATTCGAACCAATCGATATTCTGTAAAATAGCAATAAGAATTTAACTCAATTTTATGAAGTGTGGTGGCAAATATTTGAGATAAAACGGTTTAAAAGCTTTAATGGCGTTTTAACAGATATCGCGAATTTAAAATTCAAGTGCATATAAATTAAAAACTCATTACAATTTTCATGTTTAATACAGCATTTTACTTGGAATATGTTTTTAATAGGTCTAATTAATAGAAATCTAATGATATTTAGATGTCATTTTTTTAATATTTTTTGAAACTGATTTAAATAAATTTATCAAAAAAAAGATAAAATTTGACTTGGTACAAACTAAATTTCCTCTGTAATTTTTTTGAGTTTTAATTTACAGTTCATTTTTCTAAGAATTCAAGTAGCATCAAGTAGTATCAATAATTATTAAATAGTTTTTAATAAAAAATTTAGAGAAGAAGCCCTTGTGAAGCCCGTTTGAAGTTAATTTTCTCCTTAATTTATAAACAGGAAATAATAAAAATTAAAATTAAAATTTTACCAATACATTATTAACTAAAATTTAGCACTGACCTTGCGTATACTCTAACAATTTATAATTAACATTTACCCAATTTCTAAATTTATTTTCCATGAATTTTTAACCCGAAAACAAATATTTATAGATTACGTAGAGGATGATATCAATTTCTGCTTAATTTGTTTGTGTTAGTCTACCTGACTGGTGCTTAATTAAAAATTACAATCCAAGGGTAATCATTCCGATACATGTACATATTGAGTCACTAAATTATTTTTAGTAATTTTACAACGAAATTTATTACCAATTCCGTCGTTATTAATTACTAAGGTTTGTGATCGCACGAATCTATAAAAAATTAAAAATGAAGTAATCCTTTTAGACTTATGAATGAACATTTTTTTCCCATGAGCACACTTAGGTAATGCTTGAATTGTAGTATGTATATAAATATGAGTATTTTAATTGATCTATCAACCGGAATTTATTAGTTATTAGTTATTAATTAATTACATGTTTTTAAATGGTACCTATATAGTATCTATAGATAGTAAAAATCACATGGAGCTTATTGAAATTTGACCTTTTAAAATGAATACTATATGTTAGGTATAACACTTTTTATGTTTTCTATAGTTTTCATAATGTCATGAAAAATATGATTTTTAACATAGTAGGTAGGTATGTAAAGAAATTTTTGGATAGTCTAGTGATATTTTCTAATGCAATTTCCATATATCCATATACATAGGAAGTATCCATAAGAACCCTACAAGGTCCATTAATTTTTTTTAACTGGACAATTACTATAAAATCGGTATCAAAATTTTAGTAATTCAATATCGATGTTTATCAAACCGCGATACATTCGATACAGATTGTAAGCACCCGTTTCCCACATCCGCGCAACGAATTTTTCAGCAGCGTCCAAGCGGCTAATTGTTTAATTGAACAAACAACGAAATTAATAATCCCTGACATCATCGCCGGTGTACCACTAGTGGCAAGGCCGCGTCCCTCAGGCCTAGGTAAATATATTTCACGTCTGCCAATTTCTTCATAGCCATTAGCGAGGCGCTCAAAAAGCCGATATTCGAAGAAAAAAAATTTTTAAAGGAGCTAGCCGAGCCCAAGGCAAGGACGCCTGTAGTCGATTCCACGTTTATAACAAAAGGTAATGAGGTAATTGATTCGATTTTACGACGCGCCAATATCTCTTTTTTTGCTTGCTAATCTGTATGTTTTATGGCGCTTTTGTTTCTATTGTTTTTTTAATTAATTATTATAAATGCGTCGTTAGAACCGGCACGTTTGTATTGAGTTTGATTGCTTCAATCGGAAAAAAAACGCGAGTCCTTCTTGATGGAGAATCGATTAAAAACTAGCAAATGTATTGGGATATTTTTAGTATTTCTATCATCGCATCAAGAGCCGTACTCAATGTCATATTAGAATTGTTCCAGCAGTTTGTTCCAAATATGCTCTGAGTGAACATTTAAATTGCATTTCTGAATGCTTGGATTCACTAATTTTCATTTCTGAATTTTTATTTGTTTTTCTTAAATGATTATTTTAAAGATTCTAAAAGTGAATTTAGATTATAGTTTTAAATTGATTGATTTTTAAGGCGCCTTGTTTAGTTTTTATAATTAGACGATTTTTTAGAATATTTTACATAATTGGTCAATTTGTCAAATAATAAACCTATAGTTAATGAAGCCTCGCTTAAGAAAGCTCCATCTTAGCACAGTGTATTACCATCACCATAAGCGTTATTTTTATACTTTATTATAGTACAAGAAAAATTTTACATGTACATACCATTGGAGAAACACTACCTACCGCAAAATACTCATTTCCTATCAATTTATTTTGTAGTTTGTTCATAAATATTATTCATAAAGCATTTCCTTTGTAGCTATAAACGAATGTTAATAACACAAGTGTTGAAAACAGAAATAATTCATAATATTACTGCACATCTGCTTTGCAAGTTGCAAGTCGCAAAAGTACCAACTCGTCATCCGTTTCGAACGGAACATTTAAAGCGCGTGCAATTTACGTTTTTCCCAACAAATTTTTATAGGAAATTCGCAGTTAACGCTTTCCGTAGGAAGTTCGCTCGATTGTCGAAGCCGTTGAACGCCCCATTAGGAAATCGGTATGCAAACGGCGTCGTGCGTCATTTCAATATTTTCTCAGGATGCGTCGAGTTAACTAGAAGCGTTACCGAGAAGGAATGAATTTCCGGAAAATTTGCAAGTCGTAAAACGGCTCGGTGAACGCGATTTTACGGCGCTTCGCCGATTGCCTGTCGCCGTTTTAATTGAAATGGAAATGAAAAGACTGATAAAATGCCTGCTTCCATTAATTTCTAACAATAATGTCTGTTTCAACTTGTTATCTGGAGCTTTCTGCCCCATATTTAAAACGACAAATACAAAATTATTTTTTGCCACATGCCTTGATTGATTTCTCTAGCATTTTATGAAACTTTCAGAACATTAAAATTCAAAGTTAGAGGTAACTACAGATAACTAAAGAGTGTTAGATCTACGGAATATCTAAGAATTATTATATTGATAATTCAGTTTAATTTATTCTTGCAATTATCTACATTTTCATGTAAAGCATTTGTGGATATTTAATATGTATTTTTTTGTTCCAGAATTCAATGAGGGATGACATCTGTATGAAAATATATCAATGAAGAGCGAAACTTGTGCTCAATGGGCTTTTTAAAACTAAAAAACTACTTTTATTCAAGGCCACCAGGAAGAAAAAAGTAGTATTAGAGTGAGTATACATTTGAATGGTAATTCATATTTCGTCACCATTTTTGTCTTTCATATCTATTAATTTAGACGAAATATTTCCATTTTTTATTGCTCAAGGTATACAAAGGTGCAAGTTTATCTAATTTGAATAAAACTTTAATAATGTTAATTAGAATTTCTTTTAAAGAATATGTTTTTAATTATACCGGATTAATACGTAATAAAATATAAATAAGATGAATAGTTAATTTTAATTTTTTCACTTTCATTAAGTGAAATTCAGTAATGTACATGAGTCAGTATCCGTGAAAATACTATGTCTTAATAAAGTATTAATAACAAATGGCCTGAGTAAGTTCTTGTACATATTTCATTTGCTATTTTTCTATGTTGATTTTTCACGCACGAAACAAAAATATAAAAATTAGAATCTATCAGCGTTTGTAGGTAGGTGCTTTTGTATTACTTAATAATTTACGTTAGGTAGGTATAAACATGGGCATTTTAAATTCTTTCTGCAGTTAGGACGTTTTAACGTAAATTTGTTTAAGTACAGGCTTGTATACATTCTTAATAAACATTCCTGAGTGGCACTAAAGACACTTAAGATAGGTACTTACTTACAAACTGTAGTTTAGAATTTAAGATTAATTCTATTGAATACCATCCTCAGACTATTTACACGGAGTTTACTTTTAGTAAATATGTTAGAAAAAGAAATTTATTGCTTAAATATTTTGACTAAAAGAGCAATTTATAATAATTACAAATTTATATCGCTTTTAAGTAGACCTTGGTTAAAGAAGTAATTTAAAATAAGATCAGTTCCTTTAATAGACGTTTCATTTAACCTAAGTATTGGTATATTAACTTAAAATATTTAAATGTCTTAATACATATTTCATCTTATTTTTTCTTTAGTTACATCGCGAACTTCGATTGCTACTAATTTTATTGCTCTATAACAAATCTAACTTTTCAAAGATTGAATACCTGTTAATTTTTAAATTCCATTGATTTCAGAATTTAATAAGATGTATTCGAATCGAAAGTCGTTCGCCATAAAATTAGTAGCCGTAACATGCGTGGTGTACTTATTCATCCACGTGTTCACCAATACCGCCGTACCTGTTATAAGAGAAATGCAGGAATCCGGAAGGAGTCTCGCCGCTTTGGAGAATTTAGATATTCCAATAGCGGACGCTGATAATTTCAAACAGATTCCCACCGGAACGGAGGCTCCGCCACAGCCACATCCACAGAACAATAACGAAGACAAAGCGGAAAGTTCTGATGTGAGTTACACATATTTTTTTCCTAATATTTCTTAATTGCTGTAGTAGGTACTTTCTTATTCTTTATCACAAAATTATTGTTGCTATTATTCTTACTTCTTCTATTACCTAACTAAAGTTTAAGGCTGCAGCAAAAAATTATTATATGCATCCTAAAGCCTCTATAACTTACATATTTTTATAGTAAATTTTAAGCTAATAATTTACAATTAAATATTATATGTGGTTTGTAGAGTTCTACAACTAGCCACATAGATACCGTTCGGACTGAAGTGCTAAATAATATAAAATGTACAGACAAAGCTCTCGAATCAAGAATACAGCAGCGTGGGGATTATTGGGTTCTGTACAATTACATCAAAGCTCTGAAAACGTTTAGGTAAGTAAAACCGAGTTAAATAATCACTAATAGAATTTGTATTTTAAAAAATGATTTATATTTCGAAATGATTGACTAAAAAATCTAATTACAACAAATATGAAACTTACCTACAACTAATCAAAATTAAACAAATAGGCGCATTCTAAAAAAGTTGTTAAACCTGAAAAATAGAAATTACTAATTTGACAAATTAAAAGGAAGTTGATCTGATAAATGATATTTTTTACATTACATGTTGTTTTTTATCCGTTTACTTTTGTTTTGTCATCATATACATAAATATTAAATGTGCAGTTAACAATATCAGTAAAATGTATTGCTTATTTGTGAAGTAATTTATTTACTTATTTACGTAAGCATTTACATGCATGTGCCAATGTCACCCACCCCTTTATTCAAGTAATAATTTATCGATTTATTTATTAACTGCTTTTACTTTTTTTCTTACTTCTGTTAAATAAACACATATGTATGTGGTCACTTATATTATACAAACTCGTTTTCCTCTAACAATTCGCGAATAAAAAATCTAAGCATATTTATTTAACATAGTTTTGTCATTAATACTAATCGTAAACGAATTTTATTAGGTTCATAGTTTATTAGAAACATCATTGTATGGTTAATTGTTTTGATTCTTTTATCTGAGCGTTCATAAATCCACCCTTACAAGTATAAAATATTGTTGGAACGAACTTACAGTAATTGCCTACTTACTGTTATTTTAGGTGTCACGAAAGTATAACTTATACTACACACGCTGATTATTCCTTCATGGATAACCTGGTGCCATTATTGGAGCGATGGCGAGGGCCTATTAGCATAGCCGTGCATGCCCCAGGAACTGATTTCCAAAACACCATGGATTCTATAGCTTACTTAAGAGATTGCTCTAGTCCACTAGTAAGGGAACTGGTCACTTTCCACATCTATTTTAGCACCAAACACGTACCGAACGAGGTAAGCTTGTACACTACGCGGATGTGGTAAGGAATTCGGTATAATTCGGCTGATAATTTTAGGTACCTAAGCCCGACAAAGTGTTCGCAGAGCCGTACAATTGCTCTCTGACGCCTCCGTTCATGAACGTCTCCAGTGAGAACATGTACAAATCCCAGAAAAAGTTGCTGTATCCAGTAAACGTGGGCCGCAACGTAGCTCGCGAAACGGCCCAAACGCACTTCTTCCTCGCCTCCGACATCGAGCTTTATCCTAGTCCTAACCTGATCGAAAAGTTCCTAAAGATGATTGCTGATAACACCGATCCGGCGCTCAGCAAAGATCCTAAAGTGAGCACCAATTCATTTCGCAGCCTTCGAATATCTGCGTAACGCTAAATTTTCTCAGGTTTTTCCTATACACATCTTCGAAGTCGGTGCCAACCAGCAGGTGCCCGAGAACAAGACCACTCTGCTGGATATGCTGTCGAAGGGCACCGCCATACCGTTCCACAAGAAGCTGTGCCCCGGCTGCCATACCGTTCCCAAGAGCAAAGAATGGCAGACGGCCAAAGAGACGAAAGGGCTGCACGTTTTTCACGTGGGGAAAAGGACCGGAAGGTTCATTCACTGGGAGCCCATCTTCATCGGCACGGCCCGCGACCCGCTCTACGACGAAAGGCTCAGCTGGGAGGGTAAAATGGACAAAATGCCCCAGGTATACAACATTTACTCAATTCATATCCCTAATTTCTGGCCTCTACTTTGCTCTGTATGTAGCGGCATCTCCTTAATTCTACACCCCCTAAAGTACATCGGAGTAATAACGAGTGTAATCTCAGCCTTTCATTCCTTTAATGAGCTCTTGAATATTTCATTTCAGGGTTACGCTTTGTGCGTCTTAGACTACAATTTCTTGATATTAGACAACGCTTTCTTGGTGCACAAGCCGGGCATAAAGATATACAAAAAGGATCCCAGGAGAGCCATGCTGGCCAGCAAGACTCACCAGCTCATCAGCAAGATCATTTTCCCGGAGTTGAAAGTCTTGTACGGGACGAGAAAAGGCTGTGCAGTGTAAATGCGACGAAAATATTCGGCGAGAAATTGCGTATGATTTTTTTTTTGATAATTCGTCGGACTGTTTGAACAATTCATAATCTATTTACTACATATGAAATTTCAGTGGCGTGAACTGATTTCTTTATTGAATTACGAAGAGAACGAAACTATTTTTAATACAACGGGGTTAGAAAACTACGATTATGCTACTGAAATTGTTTGTATGCTATTGTGATATTCTGATTATTTTACTCTTCATATCAGAATCTATAAGAACACGCTCTAGCTTTATTGTGTATTACTAAATATCAGTGTAAATTTCATAAATACATAGCGTAGGAATAAAAAAGGTATATGAAATTTAGCTGTTAAAATAAATGTTATACAAATATATAACTTGCAGCCATATTCCTTAGTGAATTAATTTTTTACGGTAAAGCATTTTGCAAGAAATTTTGTTAAAACAAACTCAATAAGAGTATAAATCTAATTAAAATGTTTGATTTGTAATTTTCTAGTAATTGCTTGCTTCACTGAATATTACCAAAATATTTTGTACATGATTCAGCAACTCAATTCACTGTATTATAATAATTATTAAATTTGAGTTCCTATTTATATTTGTTCGTCAGGTTTCTTTCAATTAATTACGTACACGTAGTATTTAATAGCTTTGTTTTCTTCAGCGAATTTAATTTATTTTTGAATCTACTCAACAGTTAAACTTAATTCAATTGCTATTTTGCTATTGCTATTTTGATTATCGTACTAAGATAATTAGCGTAGATTCAAAAGATTCGATTCGTTTAGGTATATTTTAATTAATTTATAGATTTATTTCCAAACTTATCAACCTACTTTTAATGACAATTCAATTACAAATACCGGGTGGTCACAAATGGGGATTTTTTGAGAAGTTGTATTAGATTATTCATGATTTAGTTTCAATTATGTAAAAATTTAAATTATTTTGCACTGCCTAAACTACTCAAAAAAATCTCCACAATTTTTAATCACCCGGTATATTACACATGACGTCCTAATGTAGCATTTGCACCTAATTTATTGTAACGATGCGTAGGATCAAGAAAGTGCCAATAGATAAAATCCGCATTATTTTACAAATTTCTGTACACAATTAATGTGATATCTAGCACTTGATTTATCTGATATTGTGCAGGGTTTCGAGAACGACCAACCGTTTGATCTCTTAGGTTTTTAATAGATATATACTATTGTTTATTCGGAAGCGATTGGAAGCTTCAAAGTCATACAAGAAGCGGAAGATCTAACCCAAATTTCCGTACAATCATGAATGATCATCCCTAGTATTTTTATACTTACTATACCTCTATAAACGCTCAAAGTATACTTATGTAACATTTAAGAATATCTACTAAGGTGGTCTAAAAATGGTTAAAGGCTTAACGATTTTTAGAAAGCTTTACGCGATTTTGCCTTTTGTGTAAATATTTATACAGGTGAATATGATTTTTGGTTTTTAAAACAAAATTCAATGACACTGTGTAAACTTGATGTAATTATTAGGTATTTGTTTGCTCATTACGAACAAATCGAAAAAGTTCACAATTTGTGTACTCATTCAAGTTTGTATACTATATTTTTAGTCAATATTCGTACTTATAGGTTTTAAGTTATTTATTTATATTTTTTGTTTAGTAGAAAAATCGTCCCTTTGCTGTATATTTTACCATTTATTGTGCCTTAAACTGATTCCATATATTACGATAAAATTGTATTATATAATTTTTGTACTGTATACGAAAGGTGTTCTGCAAAATACATAATAAATACGAAGTAAAATGCATTTTGTGGTATTCAAAAACTCGCTTCGTTTGATATCAAAATTTATTCAAATCGAAAACGGTGAATTAGTAAAAATTCATTCAAATTCAACAAAGCTACAATCATTATTTCACTAATTACAGCCTATTCATCAGAAACATTTGGTAGATTTTTGAATAAACAACATATATACAAATAATTTTCTAACCCTAAATTAATGACAATAATAAAAAAACTAAATGTAAAAACTAAAATGACGAAAATAAGATGAAAAATTTCTATACAATAATTTTTGGAGCCGATTGTACTTTGTAAAATTTCCAGGCAACAATAACAACATGTCTGTTCCAAGGGAAGTTCAGAACAAGCCTAATAGTTCAATAACTCAAATACGAACGATCGAAACTATAAAGAATATTCGCAATTGAAAAACCAACCAATCCGAATTATAAAAACCAACAAATTCGAATAAATCTATTCAAAAATCTTTCAACTTCGAAACGCTATTGTCGATCTCCGAATTCACTCCATCCCGTTTTCGTTATCATCAGTCTCTTGAGTAGAATGTGTTTTCATGTGCTGCTGCAAGCTATCCCTCCTGTTGAAAGTGTTATTACATATAGTGCACGTGAAGGTTTTATTTACGTCGTGGATGCGCAAATGCCGCATCATTTTGTCTTTCCTGCCGAAGCTTTTATTGCACCTTGAACAAAAAAAAAACATTCCGTAAATAGCTGTTGTTGTTGTTATTGTTTGCTGACAGGGTTTCCCGCTGTTGTAAGGTCATTGTTTCTGCTGGAGGCCTTTGTAGTGTCTAGATCATTGGATCTACGGCGAGAATATTAAGGAAATTGAGTTCCAAAATCATCATACTAGTACTAGTGACCTCAACATCTCCCGTTAAACCGCTCGTTTGATTTTGTTCCAGTACCATCGACATCGACCAGCCGCTTTAGTCACCAGATGTAGCCTCGTGTGACATTTTTTTTTGTTTCCCAAACTCAAATTGCCACTTCGGGAATCCCGTCTTGAAAGAAAATTAGGAGTTTTGCGTTTTATTCCAAATTTCCGGGTACTTTTTGTCACAGTAGTATGTATACTGTCTTCTTCAGCCTCCATATTGCCTGCTCTACTATTTTGAGACGATATACTTCACTCCGAGTACTTTACTCAGGTTATCACGGTCCAAAGACCAGAGTTCAGTTGCCCTTTTTTGTGAGACCGTTTTCATGAAATTCCTAAATTAGAATCGAGTACAATTGGTGCTTACCTGGGGCATTTAAACGGCTTCATTCCGGAGTGCGTGGCGATATGCCTGTCGAGCTCCCTTTTGCGTATGAAAGATTTACTACAAATGTGACAGCTATAAGGCCTGGTGTCCGAGTGGGTGCTCTGATGCGAGACCAAGTTCTCCGCCTTGGAAAACCGCTTCGGACATTGTGTACATCTACAATAGGAAAATGATTGTATACTTATTTAATTTCTAACGTATGGCATTTACCTAAATATTTTGTCTTTGTTAATTGGACCATCTTGTGAGGAGACTTCCACGTTCATGTTTTCGCTTCTTATACCGTCCGAGTTTTCTCCGTTCGTATTTTCCACGCTTGGTTCGTTTTCCGACAAATCGCCTCTTTGCGGGGTCATTTCTGATGTGTAATCGTTGTGATTGAACGGGTCTAGGTTAATCACCATGTTTTCAGATCCTAAAAAAACCCACAAATAAATAACTAAATTTAAACTAATAAAATTTGGTATGCGGTCTACCCAAATTTATTTCATACAAAGTATTTATTCCAAAGTATAAGAGTAAAATTTTGCAAATTGATCCTTCATTAAGCAAAAGAATAAAATATACTGGTGTTGCATTATTTATAGAACAACATGTGGGTAATTCAATTTACCGAGAATTGGGGAAGTACCAGTATTTATTTAAACGTAAATAAACCTATTTTCATTAAACAAACAAAATGATTTTACTAATATTATAATTTGTATGGAATAGCAGGTGAGTAATTCAATTTATCGAGAATAGCGGAAGAATCAGAATTATATAGGAAGTTTTTTTCGCCGTTTTAGTTCAAGTATCTCGAAAAGTGTTTCATACCGTCCTGTTTTTCCTCCTCTTTCGCCTCGCCCTTCATAGAAAACGACAAATTGTCCCTCATCATCTGCAGCTCCTGCGATTTGTCGTCCTTCTCGTGCGGGAAATGCGTCTTCTCGTGCCGCTGCAATTTGTCCTTGCGGCCGAAACCCAAGTGGCAGAAATTGCAAGTGAACGGCTTCTGGCCGCTGTGGATGACGGCATGCCTCGACAGATCGGCTTTGGAGGTGAACGTCTTGGGACACTTGGGACAAACGAACGGCTTCGTGCCCGAGTGGATCCTCATGTGCTTCGACAGGTTCGTATTCCTCGAGAAGGACTTGAAGCACAGCTGGCAGGTGAACGGCTTCACGCCGGTGTGGACGATCGTATGTTTGCGTAAATCCGATCGCCTGGAAATTGAATGTTACTGAGTGTTATTAAAGCGTGTTGCTCAAAGTCTCTCACCTAGCGAAGGTTCGGTCGCATTGCGGGCAATTGTAAGGCTTGTCGTTCTTGTGGACGCTCTTCAGATGAGCCGAGTAGACCACGCGGTCAGCGAAGCTCATGTAGCAGGCGCCGCAGCTGTACGGTGTCTCGCTGTTGTGGGCGTTGATTTCGTGATTGTAGCACTCCGAGATGTCGGTGAAGGCGTGATCGCAGTACTTGCACATGGTGACGCCCTTGTTCTCGGATTCGGGCTCCGGCTCCTGCTCCACGTCGTTGGTCAGCGACTCGCCGTTTTCGTTGTCGCTGATCACTTGAGGTTCCTTCTCCGATTCCCAGTCGGATTCGTAGTCGTACGCCATGGGATCCACCACCATCACCACGTTTTCATCGCCTGTTATAAGTTATATCATGTGGTAATTTCAAAGGAACAAGGAATTATAGTTGATTAGATAAAAATTGAAGTACTATAGTAGTTTTCAAGTCTTCAATAATGCTTTATGGAAAGAAGATACAGTTTGAAGCATACACAAAAACTAATTATTTGAACTCAATACAATCCAAACACCTTTAAATATCCTCCAAAATACATTAGGCCAATTATATTTTGGCGCATAATTACTCATGTAATAAGTTGTTAGAACATTAGAAGTGAATATTTCTTACCATTTTGGGCCAGCAAATCTGTCGGTCCATTTTCTTTGGCTGCGCCTAATTGTCGAAGGGTCGCATCTGATATGAAACATAATTGACGAAATTCCAAGCAGAATTCTATTTTGTACAAACATCTGTGGCATATTACGTTCGGCAAACCGTCCCCATGTGATATCTAGATGTACACAGAAATTTATCATTAGGTACTTTTGTGCTGAGTCCGCTCCTGGTACTTTATATGAATTCGTATTTCCAAGTTTTTACAAGCTACATTTAATGCTAATTTATTTTTATAAGTTTATAACAAAATATAAATTACGTTTTTAACAGATAAAATTTGTAAAAAAGTAAAGAATAAATTTGTAAAAAAACCTACTGTATATGCAACCTTCTTAACAGTAATGCCATCTACAAATATATTATCAAACTACCTACAACCAATTTGTAAAAAAAAGGACAAGTACGTTTTCAATAACTACAAATAACTGTATAAACTAATTAATGCAAGCAATTCTTTAAAAAAAATAAAGTGAATGCTAATAAATTCCAAAAGTGAATGTTGCTCGAACAACTTTTGTACGTAACGAGCGAAATAAAAAAGTGGCAACACTGTTTAACTGTAGCTTGTCAAATGTCGATAAAATAGGAATCATTCCGAGAAGCCGAGTTTAGCACGTTGTTTTCTAAAGTTTCTTTTCCCTCTTTGTCTTAATAGTTGATACAGAAAGAAACGGATAGATTTGGAACGGGAAAAAATATGTGGGAAATATAAATTTTGGAAATGTACGCGAAGCCTGAAGCGGCCCCGATAACGGTAGGTTAGGAAATAAGCACGTTTTTCAACTAAATACGCGTTAATCGAACCCCAGCGCTGATATGATATAATTCGTATACGTCAAAATAACTTACTTGCAAAGCCGTACAATCGATAATCTTCTTATAAATGCTCCTGTCCTTGCCTTGAATGTGATTAAAAATGCCCAACATGAAGCCGTCCTTCTGAAGGCACAATCTGCACATCGTCGAATACCCGCTCCAATTCTCCATATTTCACGACGGGCGATCCACGCTAGTGCAGTGCTAGGGTTCCAAATAAGGTGGCATAGAAACACCGTTTGTCAAGTTTGTTTGTTGAAGCCGTCGCTCGACGTTCTTGGCAACCGTGGGGCGCCTTTGCGGGCCTTCGAAACGCAACTGATGCCCGAGCCAGGGCGGGTACGAGCGAGATGCGCCGTGGCCCCTTTCCGCGGGTGCTCCGGTTACCGGCAGGTGATACGACTTTCGGCGGCTTTTTTAAATCACCACGCTGCCGAGGGCTCGATGGGGCTCATGTTTGTTGCTGCATAAATGCGATGGGATATATTATTTTTTTTGAAGGGAACTGGGATCGATATTTTGTTCATTTTATAAAGGAAACTTTGCAATTACTGTGATAATATGTATTGTTATTGTAGGTTGGTTTATCTTCAGTGGTATAAAATTTATTTTTGTATTTCAATAGGTATAGTACCACTCTTGAGGAATTATTAAGTGTTTTTATAGTCTTTCCAATGTTAATTGAATACAGGTAGAAAATATGTCGGAGACAGAAAAGCTAATTTAGAGATATAGAGTGCATATTTTATTTTTAAAATGCATTAAATAATAAAAGTACATATGTTATCCAGGAGAGAGCCTTTTTATTAATGTAGGTGTAACTTATTCCCTTGACTTTGGAAAGACTATACTTATAAAAATTGACATTTCAAAGAGAATTTTTATAATACAAAAAAAACTATACCTACATTGATCATTGATTGATTTCGTTGATCCCACAACAATGTATGAGATAAGACTGTAATTAAAAATCCTATACAGGGTGTCCAGAAAATAGATGTTAACAATGCAGGAGCGTATAAATGAAATTACTTCATATAAATTTTGTTCAATAGAGCCCTTCTACCTATCGTCTCATTCTAAAAATTGAAATTTCTCTTAAACCGGTAATTTTACCCACTTCAAACAAGAGTACATTTTTGTTAGTTTATCAATTATAAACTTTATTTACGAATGTGTTTGCCTTATACAGATTGTCCCCATAAAAGTTACGAAATGTTAATTACTGGGCAAAATTTTATATTGTTCGCTTGTATGATTTGGAGATAAAACATAAAAATAAGTTTAAAATTTTCAACTTTAAAGGCCTCTAGCTCAAAAATTGGGGCGAATAAACAAAATTTATATGAAGGGGTACCCTTATTTCGATTTCATCTATACGCTCCAGAATTATTGACATATATTTTCTGGACGCCTTATATACAAGGAAATAAATCACTATTAGGTCAAAATTTGGTACAAAAAAACCAATGAAACAAGCCTAATTATATATTTTTTTGGTCGACAAAATTTACACTCTACCATTAATAATTGTTCCTATAATTTCTATTATTTGCATCGAATCTCCTATCTATTTGGGGGTAAGGTGTTGCGCATCCTGTTACGTTTTCGATGCCGTCACAAGAGTTGGTTATTTCGTTGAAAGCTTGTCCTTTACCGCAATTATACAACCTCGGTTTTCCTTCTATGCAAATGAAGTATTTTTGGCAATCGTTGGGCGATCTAAATAAATAATAGTTTAGGGATTAACTCAAATTCATAAAAGTATTAACCATTTATTATCTGTTTGTGGTATGGTTGGTCATAAAAACATAAATCTTGTCCTGCATGTGACATGCATAGTGACATTGATTAGATTTATTTGGACCAGCCATCGCACAAAAAGATGATGAATGGGTTATTCCAAATAATCGAATCTACTGGGTGTTCAGAGCAGACCTTGCTGTTGTGAATCACGTCCGGGTCGTATCAGTTTTAATTGATAAATCTCACATAACTTAAATTTGCAGTCGTTTAATTTAAAATACGTTTATGCAGATTAAATTGAATACGATTTACCTAAATGATCTGTATTCTTCCTGTCCTAATCCCAATCCTAAAGTCCTGGCATCAGGAGGACAGTTGAATCCCAGGAAAGCTATAGAAATTTAAATCAAAATAAAATTGTAAAATTCTTGTTATATGGATATTTAATATAAATATTATACCTTCCGCATCGCAAGAGGCGACTTTATCGGGCCAATCACATCTGTAACTTGCTTCATTAAACGCCAATCCTTCAGGACAATCGAAAGTGTACCCTCTGCCGTCTACGCAATTTTTGAATTGTCCGCAATTTTGGGCATCTCCCATCCGGTAGTACCCAAACTGGTGAGGGCAATCCTCAGTCTCTTGAGCGGGTTCTGAAACACAATCGATAAATTCATTCTAATAAATTTCTAATTTCTCGTAGGTCGCTTTTGTTACTTACGGACTTGTTCCCGTCCCGTGCAATCGACGTCGATGGGATACTGGCAAGGGAAGGCAAAAACTCCGGCTTTGGGATTGAATAGAAGGCCGTCTGGACATGTTTTTTCCTCAGGTACGCCGTCATTGCATTCTATGTAGCTTTAAAAAATGAGTTTATTGGTTAATAAAAGTAAAAATGATGACACAGGTTCAGAGTACTTAAGGATGGCCAAACAATTTTGTAGAAAATAAAAAAATGGTAAGATAAAAATAGGGTTTTTAGTAAAGAAAATTTCTTACCCATCGCATGTGTCGGTGGGGTAACGGCCATTTCTGTCAGGACAAGTTCCACTCGAGCGAGGAATTTGCGGAGCATTTCTAACGTGGTAATTTTGGTAATTATTTTGGCGATAATTCTGACTGTAGACTGCGCAAACTGAAAGTAATCACATAAAATATTAATGGTGTACTTAACATTATGAAGCAAATGTCTTTAAGTAACTAATCTACTTAATTTATGCTGCTAAACATCTAACAAAAACTTAAACAATGGTATATGAATGATGAATTGATGAAGATATTGTACATTCTACTAAGAATATCATTTGTTTGATTTGAGATAAGTTATAGTTCTGAGTTTGAGTTATCCATTAAAATAAAAGCGAACAGTTCCACATCTATTACCAAATAATTCGGCGGCAATCGATAACAAATCTCCAATTGACATATTACATAACGCATAACATTTCCTCGAGGCTTTTTCGCGGAATAGTCTTCACCAAACTTTCACATCTTTACGAGAAACCGACGGTAAAAATGCCAAGGTGAAGAGAATATTCTCGGATTATCGAATTTCAGTTATTTTTTTCATCGTGAATTAATGTATCGTTGAAATATTTAACTAAAACTAGAAATTGGTGTATAAAAGGTGATAGTTTAAAAACTAATACTCATAAAATAAGTCAATCAGAAAACGCTAAAACTTTCTACTGCTACAAAATACCACGAAGAAATACTCATTTAGATGCTTTATTCTTCTTACTTATTACACATCTTTTTCAAGAATAATTTAACAAATTCTGCAAACCCTGGTATAAACTTCCTCATTACGCCACAGTCCGATTTTCAAATTAAGAAAATAAGAATTCATTGCCCTATGAGGTCATAGCAATTTTCGTTCTAAATAAATTCGGTTGTGGGCTTTTCAAATTACAGATATAAAATAATAGCGTCGATGTGTGATATCAAGAAATTTAATAAATGTCTTTACAAGGCTGTATTAGAGATATGTGACTGGAATATCGAAAAAAGTCGCATTAAAATTGCAGAAAGGGGCATCTCCGAGATTGAGTCATTGACGTACTTTAACAGACGAGCGATTTTTAATAAATTGAAAATTTGCGTAATTTTATCTGCTTAAAAGAGTTACTCGAGTGCCTTTGCCCCAAAGGGATACTGAATTTCAATTAATACTAAAATTTTGTACAATATTAATAATAAATATTTGAAATAATAAATGAATCATTTGGTAATGCATGAATATAAGATTTTATGTTACTCTTATTTTACTTTTAATTGGGTTTTCTCAAAAAAGTTATGGCAAATTGTAACCCATTGAGTACGGTTATGTGCTGCTGATACGTAAAGGTAATGTATTGAATAATGAAAATTTCGAGGAATGCATAAATTGGCAATATTAAAATTTAATTGTTTGTATACGATTGGTAAAATAATTACAGGAAATCGCTTCTTAATTATGTTATTTGAAAATGAATGAGGTGTCTAATACGGTATTTACTGCATTTTCCCATGCGCAAATACGTAGTAATTATGAAAATTGATGTTTTTATGTAAAATATTCGGACTTGCTCTACAGATGTTTATATTACATACTATAATAGTTGTTTTCTTACATGTAAAAGTTTTTATTGAAAAAAATAATAATATAGCAAAATAAAAAATATATTTTCCGGGAAAGATTTGCGATTTCAAATCGTCATAATTTGCAATACGTACCATATCAAAATTTAATTATTTTGTAATTTGTATAACATTTTCTATGTCAAAGAATTATTCAATCTTTAAATAAAAATTTACGCAAATTAGAAGAATATTGTATGCAAAATATTTTTTTTGGACTCTTATAAAATTAACATGATTATTACACTTACTTTGTACAACCAACAGAACAATTATAAAACGACCCATAGTATTTTCAATTACCACTACTTAAACTTTCGAAACAGTCGGTCTTCGGGCGATGATTTCGTGTTAAAAATCAAATTACGAATGTGATAACTCGACTGCTACGATATCCAAATGAAGACGTTTCTTGGCGAGTTCCCCCCGTACATTCAAGGACTTTTTTCAAAATAATCGCGTATTTACATCGCACTGACGAGATACACCATCTTATTTGTTCTATACTTTATAGTTTCGGTAGACCGCATCTGATAGGAATTGCATAATAAAAACTGGATTTGCCCATTCAATTTACGATGTATCTAATACATACATTTTAGTCTACTATTAAAAATTAAACGAAAACAATCGGAAGTTGTGGTACTTTTATTTGATTATTACAAAATTTAAAAAACACATAAGTTAATATTAAATAGTTTGATATTTATTAATAAATACAACAACGTGTGTCGATATTTTTCAGCTCGTTGATTTGCAGTAGACGTAGCGCATACCTCCTGAAAAGTAATAAAAATATGTTTAAAAAATATTTAGAAATATTCGATAATTTAAGGCATGTTGACTCCACCACACATGTACTTCCCAGCTAGATAAAACAAACAATTTCTCCCTGCTTTAATCAGCACAATAAAATAGGCAAGCAACATAAAGTTGTATTGTAATTAAATTTATGTATACCGTGTTGTATTAATTGGAAATTATGCTTTATTTACGGAATAGAAACAACGTAAAAAGTCGGTATCAATTTCGAGGAACTTCCAGATATCTCCGGTACCGCACTCTTAGCAGGAATATTCCTCTCGCTCTGATATTTCTTTAAACTCCCTAAAATAGTCGCAATAATTATTAGTTGTATTGAATTAACAAACGCCAAAGTAAACAATTAAATGATAAAACTCACCGTCGAACAGAACAATTGTTTACTCTTTAATATTTTATTTCAAAAATAGTATAAAACATAATTTAAAATCGTTAAATATGTACGTGTAGAATTTTTTTAAATGTTAAGTTTAATATCTGTCTGGTAATGGAGGAGGCGTACCTGGTGGAGGCGGTGGAGCCGGTCGCGAAAAGGCCGACGCCGGGTTCGATAATCTATATACTGAAACAAAAAATAACCTCTACATATCAGCTCCTAAATTTATACTATTAATTATTATACATGTGATAAGGAATAAAATAGCTTACTTTTCTTTGTAGCCACAGTAGGTTTATTAGGTGACACTAGAGGCTTGGAGTAAAGGCTGTCATTACCTTTATTAGTCGTGGTAATATTGACTTTGCTGGTGCATTCGCTTATAATGTCCAAAGCGGAGCGGCAGGCTTGGAACATCACCATTTTTTCTTTCCTCCTCTTCACTTCTTCGGGAGATTCTTCCAACAATTCAACCTAAAAAGCAAATAAACGGTTCAAAATCCATTACGAGGCAACCAAAGTAAAAAAAGAATTATTCTACAAGTGAATAGTGCAATTGTTGAACGTTTGGTATATTCTATTTTTTCATTATTTACACTAGTTTACAACTTAGTGTCCAACAAGTCCGTTTTAAATAGTTCTGAAGCGTTTCGAATGGTTCTGGAGTGTCGTAAATGGTATTAGCAGTTCTAAATGGTTCTGGAGCGTTCTAAATGGTTTTAGATAGTTCTGAATGGCCCTGGAGCGTTCTAAATGGTTCTGGAGTGTTCTGAATGGTTTTAGACAGTTCTAAATGATGTGCTAGGAAACTATTGTTGGAGATTAATATGGAAAACCGACCCAAAATCATACAAGAAAAATTATACCAGTTTTATTTTTTCCTTACTTGTTCATCGTAAGCGTAAACATTGACTAACAATTCTTCGAAGATGTAGTTTTTGGTATTTTTGATTAGCAAACACGTTATCATTTTCGGCACCAAATCCCTGGTGGCTTTGGTAACAATGGACATGTAGCTTTCGACTAGATTCCTGATCACTTCCACCTGCCTTTTCAGTTGCGGATCCACATCATCTTCAATTAGAATCTAACAAACGGAATAATAAATTAGTAGAGCAAGAGTTTGTAATTAGCGTAATAACTTACACTATCGTCGTCTTTTTCTTCGCCGTTTTGCAATTTTTCCGGATAAACTCCGGCCCTCAGAAACGACGCCTTCCACGAATCCATGTCGTCTATGGAATTGCAGCTCAGTTCTAATTGCTTGTGATCCTGCGACAACGTCGAAATAATATCGAATTTCGCAGAGTAACAGTTAAATTACACACCTTGTAAACGTTCGCTCCGTGCGGGTAAAACAAAGCGAACGTCGGCTTCCTGTTCATGAAACCGTTTTCCACGTCTCTCAATTTCAATTTGTTCAGCGGCAAGATGTATTGTATTTCTTTTTCAGTCTCATCTTTGTACCAGGCCAAGCTGTCGGACGATAAAACGTACCAGAAGCTCCTGCCTTTAATGAAGCTTAAATTGTGAAGCGACATGTAGCCCTTGCGTATCACTTGATTGCCTAAATTGTTGTGCACTGGCACAGTTTTTCTCGCTTGGTTCTCAGCGCTAAAAATTCATTGGGTTATTGCGATTCAAAAATGTATAATCACGATTATAAATACTTGGCGAATCCTATGAAATCCTCGTGATTGGTGTTCATGTAGGATAATTGGCAATTTATGTATTCGACTAATTGGTCCCGGCATTCTTGCTCTCGGTTCCTTATGTGGTTAGTAATTATCCTTTCGACTACTTCTCTTAAGCGGGGAAACCTAGACATCTGGAAAAATGGATAAATGAACAAATAGATTGGCGAGTAAATTTATTGTTGGGTAATACTTACTTGTTCTGTACAGGAATGTATTACATTTAATAATTCTGTGGATACCAAATCGACGCATTTCATGCAAGGATCCTTCAGTCTTGCTATTTGTTTCTTTACTATCGCATCGAAGGCTAAATCTGGAGTGAAAAGTCCTATCTGAAATTTAATGTAAAATTTGTACGATCTAGTGGGAATGTAGAATTTTCACGATTTTCCAAAGCAATTTTTAAAATCGAAATATAAATAGAATAATCTGGAAAGTAATCGATTTTAAATGGACAAACTAGAGTAATTTATAGGTAAGAAAGAAAAATCTTTCCCCTATTGTAGATTTTGAATGCATAACAAGATATAGAATGCCACAAAAATTTCTTTAAAAAAACAAACATAAAATTCTGAACAATCTTTAACTCGAAGAATGCATCAAAAACATTTAAAAATTACTGAAATTCTGTAACTGCTAAATGCAATTGAAGCTTTTTCCCACCTTCAAATATCACACGATTCTCTACGACGTTTGAATAGACTCCCTTTAAAACATAAACAATCACATTAAAAAATATCTCACCCTAATTCCGTGTATATTAGCTATAGCAATAGCTATTTCCTTCCTCAATTCGTTCTCGTCGAATTCCATCTTCACTATTTCGAACGGGAACCTCTCGTGAAAGATGCAATTAATCTTCGCGCCTCCCGTCAGTTCCGTAGTGTTCACATCGTCGGACTTCGCTCCTTCTAAAACCTTTTCGAAATTAATCGCGAACTGCTGCAGCATTCTGAAAATTAAAGACGCTTTTTCAAAACTCCGTTTAGCGAAATTTGTGCGATTTCGAATGGTCGAGCGCTTACTTTATGCTCTCCGACACGAATTCTTTGCAATTCATATCGGTTTCGTATCGATAATTTGAATCGTGAATTCCTCGTATATCACCTATTAATTAAAAACATGATTTTGTAATTGACAATTTCAAAAGGGACAAACATCTGATTGAAATGTTAATGACTTTTTAGGCGGACTCGGGCCGGAAACGGTAATCGCCTTTGAAGCATATTTCATTCGCGATTTCCATATCGCCACGAAACAACTATTTCGAAAAATATTCAAACGATAAAAATCGAATCGATAGGAATTTTATGAATAAGACATTTCGGAATGAAAAATCTTAGCACTTGGTAATTGACTATGTTTTTTTGAGTCCCAATGTTCATTACAATTAAATGTAATTTAAAGGCTTCTCAACTTACTGCAGCATCGCTTTGGCTTTCATTGTGGGATCGTCCGCGTTGAATTTCCTAAAGTCCCCCAGTTCCTTCTCTAGCGTTATCAATTGCTTCTGCAGCTGGTTCCTCAGCGACGGCAGAGTGCTCCGTATGTGGTTGGTAAGTTGCTCGTTGAGAGTTTTCTGCAAATAGGGAGTCCCGAGTTTATCAATCAGATGTCGATATGCGGGGTGACTAAAACAAAAAGCGGACATGAAGACCTATTGACCGATAAATTAGAATTTGTCATGCTAGAGTTCCGTTATAGACGTAGAGTTTTTTAGAAAGCAAATAGCAAGTAACAGAACGAAGAAATACCTATATGTTTATTCGATTTGTTTTCTAGTAGATGTTATACACGTCCACAGCTGAGAATTTACTGTGTTTTTGTTATCAAATTTTATCTTTTATCACAAAAGTCTAAAGTAGAAAGTAGTACACTATCGATTCTTAGTATTGTTCAATCGTTCCGATATATCTTGATATCTACAGTAAAATAAAAGTTTTCTGATAGCGCACAACGTTTCTTACCCTAAAAAGTATCTCCTTTCGGCTTCTAAAGCCGCTTTGATGTCCTTACGCCCGTCTATATCCCTTTGAGATCTGTTAATTACTCCCACGTAACCTCTTCTTAACGGCAGGAGTTTATTTTCTAGTATATTTCGAGCGTCGGTTCCTTCATCCATGATATCCAGTTTTGTTATTACTCCTATCGTTCGGTAACCTGCCGAGAAATGGATAGTTAGTAGTAATTTTATTTTTTTAATTTAAGTTTCTTTGACTAAAAATGTAAAAGATACTTTGTTTATACAACATACAGGTAGCTCCATTTTTGATCGCATCATAGGTTATATAGGCCATGGGTGCGATAAAGACAACTTCTATTAGACACTTATAAAGGAAAAGGAAAGAATGACATTTGTGTCATTGCAACTTTTCACTCTGACAATTGTTATTTTATTAATCTTTCTGTTGCGGTCTAAATTGAAGCAATCGGTATGTAGACAATTATGTAAAATGCTGATTTCATTACCGCTGATAAAATGTATTATAATATTCTCTTATCTGAGGTTTCTGTGGGTAGGTAGAGATAATTAAAAACATATTTGCTCGAGAAGTGAAATATTATGAATATGTTGCATGCAAAAATAGTGCGCATAATGATAGAGTAATTTGAATAGCTTCTTTTTGAAAAGAACAATGGCAATATTGTGAATTTTACAAAATTTAAAGTGAAAATGTAGAAAGTAAAATAATTAGGAAAATCACAGGATTCGTATGAATATTTTTTGTAAAACATTCCTAGATTAAAATTTTTCGGCATCCTAGATATTTTTATGTCTGCATTAATTGTATGATTCACTTAAATAACGTATGCCACAATTATAGTAAGTATTTAGCTAAAAAACTATATCTTCGTAGAAAATATCTTTACTAACTGTAGCGTTATAAGAATGTAAAAAGTTCAAGCATTAACCTATGAATCATTCTTCAAATGCTTAAATATACTTCACAAAAGACATAAACATAAATCCTAATAACTTTTGCATTGCCTAATCTTCATAAACTCTTAAAAGAAAAGCCACTTGTTTCAGAAATTTTGATATTTAACATTGGATATTGATAAATGAATTGCTACTATGTAAGTTAAGAACCCAAATTGAATCCAATTTCCTATTACATCACAACCAAATCATCGAAATCAATTAATTACCATATATTTATTTAAACTACTCGTAAGCTTACCTTGAGGATCGACTTCCCTGGCAATTTGCAAAGCATCTGAATTGGCCAGATCCGTATTAGCAGGAGTGACTGCTAAGATAAGGCACGTGTCTTTGCTGATGAATTGCAGGATCATTTTTTTGATCTGGTGTTCGATATCGGATGGTTGATCTCCGATGGGAAGCTTTGTCATTCCCGGTAGGTCGATCAGCGTTAAATTTAGAACTGTAAACAGGTGTAAGTGTAAGGTCAATGCGAAAATAGAGATTGATTAAAGATTGATTAATTGTTTCATAAATTTGTTATCGTATACCTAGTCTATTGCTCAACTAAAATGTACAGGGTAGGTGGAGAAACAGAGGAATTGAGGATACTTACCATTAGGGGAGAAAATTTTTAAATTAATCGGTAAATTGGAAATTCCTTTGTTGCTGCCTGTTACTCTATTCGTTTCGTTTTCGATTTCTTTTCTAACTTCATCGAAATCCGTGTATTGCTGTTTGTTGTGGAGGAATTCGGCGTATTCTAAAAATAAAAACCGATTTTTAATCCGAATAGTTTCGAATGCTTGAAAGTTCCTCGGAACAATTAAGATTAATTTTATTTTTAAAATTGAAATTGGGTCCCATCTTGAATGTGTTACATTGAAAGAACCCCATACGCATTAACTACAACTTAAAAATAGTTTAATGTGTACATTTTATTTAAGAGATTTATTCCTAATGTTGAAATCATTTTACGTGTTGTTAAATTAACCAAGACGTAATCAGGTTTTTTTATTTCTGTGCGTTTCGACTCGACAACTAACAGTTAAAATGATTTCATAGTAATTATTATTCATAATAATCTTATAAATTAAATACAATCAGGGGGCCCAACTCAATGCGGAATGCAGACGTTTATTTATAAGCAAATGATCAATATTTGAGAATTTTTTTCTTGATTCATGTTTTTAAATGATTAAACTAATTTAAACTAATTAAAGTATTAATTCGTACATGAAGTTCTTTGACACTGGCGCGAATATTTCTTTTTAACCATTGAAATGCGGGTGTCATGTAGATTTTCTTAATTATGCATTTAGAGCAATGATAATTTTTACAAAGTAACAGTAAAAAAAACTTATCTTTCAAAAGAAATTGATAAAATAGAAACCTACTCAGAATTTTGTGATTTGTAAAAGAAATTTTGTAATTTTCCCCGAAATTAACCCATGAAATCGAAGTTCAATGAATATCTCTCATTAGGATGCTAATATTATTTGTGTAGGTTTTAAGAAATATCTCGAATATTATCGATACATTTTTAGCAACATATTTTACTAAGCTGTTTACATTTGGCGAATTCACGGAAGGTCTGCTTGTTAGTTATTGCCTCATGGTAAACTGTTTTTAAAAATTGTGTTTGAATACCATTTAGCAAACAAGTACAGTCTGTACAGTTTTAACGACAAATTTATTACTTACTGTAAATACTAAAATTTTTAGAGGTTTTGGTTAAAAAATAATTATCAGATCAATTAGATTCATCCCAAAAATAGAAGCTACTATAATAGTAGAAATATTTAGTAAATGCATAGATGAAATTCAAATATAAGTATAAATAATTTAAGCTTACCAATGTTTGAGTGGATAAGTTGCAAAATAAGAGGCCTCCTGGTTACAATGCCTGTCCCTCTCGGTAAAAAATCCCTGTAAAAATTCCTTTGTTCTTTAACGATATATGTATTCGGTTTAAATAAATATTTTGACATTGGCCTAGTAATAATTTTAATTAACCACATATTAACTTTTTACGGGTGTAATAATGAAATTTCGGTTTTTTTTATCCGTAAAAATTAGAGTATAAAATTACCAAATATTGATAATGGTGTTCGTAAACGCGGATACGACGTATGTTGGTAATAAATAATGAAAGTTTCGAATTACCATTGTTTCCTAACGGATTTTTAATATTTCCTTTATTTTTACCGTTTGCTTTATATTCGTTACACAATACTTTTAAGACTATACGTCTTTTGCAATTTATATTATTACCAGTAATTTAATTTTAAAAAGTTTTAATTTTTTATTACATTGATTTTGTTATATTGCCTACATATTGATATAATTTTAATATTAATATAAAAACACAATTTTGCTTTTATCTCTACATTCCACATTCAATTAAAATTTTATTATCTGTTGATAACACACAATTTGAAAATTTTTAAATTGTTATTGTCAAGACAGTACAATTTTTTCTTGAAGTTCAACGCCTTCTTTTATTACATCTACGATAATGTCATTATTACAAATTTAAATAAAAGCAATTACGCTATATTATTTTTTAATTTATTCGTTATTTATAATATTTGTTAATTTAATGAACGTACAGTAGAGTAGGAATAAAAGAGTATAAGACTAATGAAAAGTAACCAGTGGATAATTTGTATTGTTTCATCAATTAGTAAAGCTCTAGAAATGTTCCATTAAATCGTTGATGAAAAGAAAGAGCCTGTGAATGCCCGAGAATGAAGGCACACTTAGACAATAACAAAGCAAATTTAGCTCTCCCTATAATATAATTAATCCAAGAGAAAATATATGACCATCATTTTTTGAGAAAAAGAGGGAATGTTTCACTGGATATTCATTTAAATTTTAACATTTGCATATGTAAAAAACTAATGAGAAATAACAAACAGTAAAGAGATAAGAAAATTGTCACCAAACAACGGAATTGCTGGCTCGAAAATATTTCATCCATAATTTATCATTCTTTTAATTAACAATTTAGTGCAGTATGTATGTAGATACAAATGTTATGTAGATAGATTTTTAAAAGTTTTCATTCGTTTATACTCTTTCGCTTCAATATCTTCTTACTAGAAAATTACGTTACCTATATTTTCTCAATCTATTTAGCAATAAGGCTATTTATAATTTTTTTTATAATCTCTGTACAAAGTGAAACTGAATAACTAGCTCGCGTTAGATATTTTCGATCGTTGAAATTATTAACTTCAAATATGCAAAATAAAATAAGTGCTTGCTATCAATCAGATTTGATCGAGTTTTATTAAATACTCCACATAGTGTGTCACTATATTTAATATGTAGGTAGGTATGTAGGAATTGACGAAATTTTGATATAAGAAAATTAATCAATCGTTTATCTACTTTTCTTAAAAACTCAAAGGACATTCTATACAATTCAAAATAACAACATACAGTTTTGTATTACCAATCGTGTTCCCCAAACAAAAACCGAAGGTTAAATATTTCAATGGATACGTAATAAAACCAACAACGAAATCCATCAATTTCGAAAATACTCCAAAAGATTTTACCTCCCCACGAAGTTCTCCAAAACGGAACTCTTGCCCGCACTTTGTCCCCCCACTACGGCTATTTGAGGCAAATCCAAAGTCAAATGCACTCCAAGTTGCGTGAACGCATCCTGCAACTTATTTACGACAGGTATCAATTTTTCCATGCCCGCATTTCCCGTCATTTTGCGTTTTCTCCGAAAAATCACGCGCACTTTGGAAACGAATTCAAAATCGCGACGTCCGCCTCGCACGCCCGACTTTGGTCTACTAGATCTCGAACAAAACCGTCGAATCCTACAGCAAATGTTTGAATCACTTGCTATTGTTTCGTTCGAATGGATTGTGTCACAGATAACGCGATTTTCTCGGTAGAAATCATGCCGTTAATTTCCCATCGGAATTATCCGTTTTTATCATTTAGCGTGCCCAGTGCGTTTTGTGGTGCGTATAAGACCATCTGATCGACTGATCCTGAATATTTAGGTTAGTTTTTTTTTGTTTGTTTTCACTTGGTAATGTGACGAATGATAGAAAGTAGTAGAAGTGGAATACAAAAGTATTTTTGTAATGTAAACACGCTCAAGGTAAAGCGAGTGTCTCGTGAAAACACTAGAATCAAAGTTGCATACCTACTCGTAGGTAAATATTTATGAAATCAGGATCAAGTTTAGTATCAGTTTCAGGATGAGTTTAGAATCAAAATACCTAAAGCTCCGATGCCAGTGCTTTTTGTATTGTTTAGGAGAATACCAGGAACTCAATCAAAAGAACACGGCATCAAGTAAAATCTATAAGAAAGCTTGAGTAATGGATTTGTTTAAAAAAAGTCGAATGTTTATTGAGATAAATTCCTTATTATGAGGAGATGGTTTAGCTTTCTTTGAAGATTAGTCTCTTCTAAGCCAGCATCGAGTCTCCTGAAACTATACGTCTGGAAGAATGATCTCTATTACCACCAGGATACTTGCCAGTAAGAAACTTGGTTCTACCAAACAAAATAAAGAATGATCTAGAGAAGCAATATCCCACACAATGATATCAATAAAGATTGTTTCAACATGCATCGTTTAAACCAGAGAAAATTGAAGCATATCATGCTCACAATTCACTAATTTCTTTGGTCCAACTTTGCTCAGTTTGTTTCAACCAGGTTAAAATTAACTTCATTAAGCTTCGTAATAAACCTTCTGGTTAAACCTAGAAGAAATTTTCACCAATGTGTGAACACCTGCACTTCTCCAATATGTCTTCTACATTATTATTAAATCTGTCTACTTAGAATTTGCAAGACCAAAACCTTGTCACATTGAGGTATCGAGATAATTTTTTACGAGATAAATTCATCTTAAATCTTCTGGTTACACCTAGAAAAATTCTCCACCAATGTTTGAAAACCAGCACAGCTCCAATCTGTCTTTGCAAGACCAAAACTTAGAATCATATTGAAGAATCGAGATAATTTTTTTAGGACTATCACCGACACTAGTGCGCTAAATAATTATATTTAATTTCGTACGCATGGTTGCCTATAGAAAGACGGTATCTCCTTTGATGCAACACATGTACAGTTTAATTGGCAACATGGATATCATTCGTTTAATTGATGTTGTGGGTGTGCTGATTGGGACAGATGGTTTTTTATCACAATTACGTCACTTAAAATTGGAGTTCAAACAGTGATGTTACGAGAAATCTATTCAGTCAATTTAATTTTTTAAATTAACGCTTTGGTTTTCCTTGGAAATAATTCAATATTGTACTTATCAAAATTTGTGTGCAGTATGCAATTACTCAACAGCATCACAAAAAATGTAATTACTGATGCAAATAGCCAAGATATATGAAAAATATTAGTGAGAGTAATTCTCGTTTTTTTACAAGTTATAATATCAAGTACAACGTTAAGTACAAAAAAATCTATAAAAAATTATTATTAAACAGTTCTATTTGGGTCTATCGATTTAGATAATTCATCTACGTTTTCCGACATTATTTGGTAAATATCCTCTTTTAATCTATCAACATCTTTAGTTGTACACCCTTCAGTTTGGATAGCTGGTAAGATTCTGATCCTTATTCGACCTAAAATTAAATTATTTTATATGAACATCGCGTTACTCTATCTCCTATAATGGATATCTTTCATACAATAAATGTAGGTACCTGCTTCGAATTTATTTGGGCCCAAAAAAGTATATCTGGAAACGGCGATCGGTTGAATTGGGCATTGAGAGGCAACAGCCAAATGAAAGGCTCCTTTTTTGAAAGGAATCAACTTAGGACCAAGATTCCTTGTACCTTCTGGGAACATTAGCACCCTCGCCTAGAAGAGAAATGAAAATTCATCGAAAAGAAAATAATAAATTTTGTTTATCGTGCTAATATAAAATTTTAATACCTAGAAGGGTGTTAATTAATTGAGTTTTTTCTTAAAATCATCCAAATATTCACATCATGAAGTATCGGCACTCAATTAATTAACACCCTTTATAATTAAAATTACCTTCCTTGTTTTGATAGTTTCTCCTGTTTTGTTAATAGCATTTTGGGCATCACTCGATTTATTCCTATCTATAAATATGACACCGCATAGCCAAAACGCCAATCCTATGGGTTGGTAATAAAGCATCTCTTTTTTAGATATCACGGTGCATTTTGGAAGCGTAGGCCATAAGTACGACAAAACTGTAACATAAAATAAGCGATTGAGTACTAAGTAAACAAGATGATAAAAAATTATTTACCTATCATATCTATTATACTTTGATGGTTTATCAGAACCACGCATCCGCTATTTCGGACGATGTTCTCTTCGCCTTCTATCGTACATTCTAGTTCTAAAATCTTGCAGAGGGCTCTAAATCCTGCTGAGGGCAACCTGAAAATATCGTTGTTGGTGTCATAATTATAATTAATTAAATTCTGTTTGATTGTACTTACAGCGGATTTCGAGGATCTCTCGGTCTGAACAACCAAAGTGGTATTAAAAGAGTTGTAAGGAAGCAATAGCAAATAAAAATTGAGTACTTTATCAAACTCTTGGCTATATTATTTGTCTTCCATAACGCTGTGCCTAAGACTGGGACTATTATAATCCAGTAAAGTAGCATAATTTACCTATAATGTTATTATTTCGTTGAATTAAAAGTATAATAAAAAGTTTACATTACCTGTTATTATGTATTGTATTAATATGTAAATCTTTTATAGAATAATTTATTTAAATTCGCAAGTTCAGTAAGTTCAATGTGGGCCTGGACACTCAATAACAATTAATGAATAGAAAATTTCAAGGTAGAATGATAAATTTTTATCAGAAAAATACCAAAATTAACTTACATTACATGTAATTCCTATTTAACGACATAGTTCAACTTTCATTGCAGCAAAGTCTACAACATATCGGCACATAATTGTTAAAATTGTGTCAAATTTACTCCAAACTGAGTTGTTTTAGTGCTGCCTTTAGATAAAATGATTGTTTAGGAGGAAATAGTTAAGATTATATTTAAAAATAAAATAGTAAATAGACTAAATTTTAAGGTACTTATCTATCCAAACAATCGAAATAGGAAATAGCGCTTACCTTGTAGATAGATATCGTAATCTTACAATTTTATAATTGTTATTTTGAAAATAAAATATAGTAAATAATTTCAAGAAATTCCAAGGATTTTTAGCTACTAATGAAATTCGTTCCAATTAAGGCATTGAACAATTTTGAACCAGTTTAATTGCATTTTTAGTTGTTAAAATGACTGTGCAAACGCAGTAAAGTTTAGTACCTTTGTTGGAACAAACCTAATAAAACCTCATTTAAAAACAACAAAATTGGTTTACCTACAATTACTATTACGTATTACTCTTGTGAACTTAACTAATGAAGTTTTAATGATTACACTATGTTATGCAATATTAAATTTACCATCACTGACTCACCTTAAGTACAAAACCTCCAAATAAAACAAATCATCTCCAGCTTCGATATCTCGATGAATAAACACACTCTAGGTATAGGCTCTTCAACGATAATACGTGTGTTTAAAACTCGCACATTATCTCAACAATCAGGTATTAATCAATACACACTTAGCCGACCTTCAACACGGGCGTTATCTGAACAATGCAGTTAATTAATTAACCGCTTTTGCCGTACACGCACGTTTGATGAGCCAATCAAAGCCGATTGGTAAAGTTGTAAACTGCATACAAAGTCGCACTAATGCAGTTTTCACAAAGAGCATAGGCGTTGCGTTTGCGTCAACTTATCTGATAGTTGTTGTGCTATTTTTAAAACTGCAATAATCGGATCAAAGATCTCTAGTTCCTGCAGTTGGAATTAGATTTCCACATGTTTGAATATTACATTACTGTGTTTTATACATCAGTCAACTAAAACATTAAAACTTAACATTGTACCGAATGTAACAAACCTCAACATCACACACATTGTTAAAATTTAGAATTGCAACAATCTGTAGGTGCATCGAACTAAATGAAAATAATGAAATAATTTTGCCATATTTTATTAATAAAAACAAGTTAGTACAATCAGCGATGTTCTTAAGGGAGGACAAAATACTATAAAATTATCTTGACAACGTAAATTAGGTACAAACTTATTTAACTAATCAGTCGGTCCAACAGGTCGGTCGGGATTATCTGTTTTCATTGTTATTTTAAACATTACGACCAAATATTTGCATATTTAATACCTACACTTGATTGAAAATAACGGATAGTTGTGAGTTCACATCAGTCACAACTAAAAATATTTAGGATGATGTAATCTACACCTATAATAATCGATAGAAGATTATTGATTTTGTGCTGATGACAATAGAAAAATATTTTTTTGAGACTTTACATTTTAAATATGAATTATTTTAATTTTATAACAGAGTAACAGTAAAACAGTAAAACAAGCTGTAATAGTGATAGCTTTACAGCTCAAAATAAATCACAAATTAGCCTAAGTGAAACCAACAAACACTTAATCCTACATAATAATGGAATGAAAAATTGAGCCATTAGAAGACAAAATTAGAACTCATTGGAATATTATACCATTTAAAATAAAAATGACATTTTTCTTTGCCTTAAATAGCCAAATAAATTTATTTTATTATTCTAAACATTACGAATTTCAGTCACGGTTAATTCTGCGACAATAACTTTAATATCGATAAGATTGTCGTAGACGGTTTAATGTTTGTGACTTAAAAGTATTATCTTTCTGGCATTATAATTTATTGCAGGTGCAATTACAAGAATTACTAGAATGTTAGGTATAATTATCGTTGAATAATAAAATATCTATTAAATTATTTAACGCTATTTAATGGCAAGTCGGAAAACGCATTTTTTCAATATGATAATTTTATTAAGTCGAATTTACGGTTGATACCTGCTAAACCTTTGATATATGTATGCAATTAATTTATTATTTCCTCCGAGTATCCAAATTAATCTTAACTATGCACGTGCGCTCCTAATTTGTTCTTTAATTACACTGATATCATTAAAATTTATGCATTCTTCCAATGCAACTCTATACCTTCCATTGGCATCTAAACGGCTATACAACATTAGACATTGCTTTTTCCAACGTGGGGAAGCATTAATTTTATCACAATAAATTACTTTGGTAGAAGATTCTTAGAAAGATAGGCGTATTTCGATTAGATTAAACTCATTACACCTTAATCTACCTAGCTGTACCGTTTACTTCGATAGATGAAGACACTTGGTTCACGTTTTCCGATAAAATCTTGTGCGTTTCATCTATCAATCTCGGAATATCTTCTGCTGTGCAGTTTTCGGTCGGAATAGCCGGAAGAATTCGGATCTTCACGTTACCTAAAATGTTCACAACGAATTAGAATTTAATTATCATTTTTTTGTGCGATTTAAATACCTGAATCGAATCTGAATTTTCCCAAGAACGAATACCTGGAAACTGCTACTGGCTGAATGGGCACCTTGGAGGCGACTGCCAAATGGAACGCTCCTTTTTTAAACGGCAGTAATTCTTTCTTTCCGTTTCTTGTACCTTCTGGAAACATTAGAACGCGAGCCTAGAAGGATAATAAATAAATTGAACATGCAATTATTCACATGCCCACAATTGACTTTGTTGAGTAGATAAATGGTTCCATAGATAGATAATTGGCTCTTTTGTGTACACAAAATACTTTCTTGGAATGATAAATTGCTTTTCTAAGTATGTTAATTACACGTTGGCGGATAAATTATTTTTTAGGCATATAAATTACTTATCTTATCAAGAAATATTCAAGGTATGCAAAGAATAGAATTGGGTTGAAATGTTTAGTCTATAATATGAAAATAATCCTTCTGTACTTACTTGTCTTTTCCTAATCGTTTCGCCAGTTTTGTTAACTGCTGATTGAGCGTCTCTAGCATTGACTCTATCTATGAAAATAGTGCCCCACAGCCATGAAGCCAATCCAAACGGTTGAAAGTAGAATATTTCTTTTTTCGATATCACAGTAGAATTCGGCATTAGAGGCCAGAGATAAGCAAGAACTGCAATAAATTTGGTATAAACAAAAATCTGGATAGGCTAATGAATCATCATTTTTTTCACTTACTTATTAGATCAAGAGCGCTTTGATGATTGATTAAAACAACAGATCCGCTGCCTTTTACAACGTTTTCAACGCCTTCTACTGAGTATTCTAGGCCGAAAAGTTTTCTGCTAATTCTAAGCAAATACGCTGGAATCCTAAAAACAAACAAATTTACATGTCTTTTAAATTTTTTCCTTAATAGCTTCAATTATCTCTAATTAGCAAAATAAGCCTTAGCGTCGTGACCAATTGTCGTCTAGCCGAATTTAATACACTAGTATCATTATCGCAATATTATACAACATTGTTTATCAAGCTTTGGCTGTACTAAGAATATAAAATTAAATATAGCACTTACAAAGCGTTTTTGCTATCTCTTGGATTTAGCAGCATAATTGGTATGGGAGCACAGGCGAAAATCATGCTCAAAACGGCGAATAGGAGGAATTTTAGCACATATCTGGCGACCGAGCTTACGTTCCATAAAATAGCCGTGAAAGCCAAAAATCCCATCGAATATAATATAAAGCCCATTTCTGAAAAACAAAAAAGAATTTGTAAGTTAAGTTGTAATGCATGGATTTTTAACGAATTAAACCAATAGCAATAACAGTACTAAAATTTTTAATTAAAATTTTCTTTAAAAATTATTATAAAATATTCTATAGAAATGTACAAAGCAGGATTAATAAATGAAACAGAAAACATATACTAGATATTATCAGCTTCTATTATTATCGACTCAAAAAAAATTATCAACAAATACATTATCATTTATGTAATTATTTCGCCATAATTAAGTTTACTTATTTCTACATGCGAAATCGATACCTCGGTTTGTATTTAGTTCATTATCACTGAGCGTGCATTTATCATTCCGAATTATTTTTTATTATAAAAATAAATTCTCCAGGATGTGTAAATATTTGACTGAGTTACGCAAAGTGTAAGTAATAAAATGCTACACAGAGTGGTAGGAAGAATGGAATTTTCCGGAGGGTACATTCTGCTAGAATGAGGGAATTTCTCGAAAAACGTTTATTGCAAACTTTTACGCAAATGTTTATTAAAAAAACTCCAATGATAAGTTAATGGATAGTAAATAGAAGTAAATGTAGTAGTAATTAGTAATTAGTAACCCCTCTAGTAAATGTATTCGGAGTGTTTAATTCCCCTTTGTATATTTTTAAAAACTAATCATTTTCTAATTTCGTAATTTACCTATGTATAATATTTGGACCTTGAAAAATATCACAAGAAATATTTGAAATTGTTCTCTTACACGAAACCAATAAATGTACAAACAATAAAATTACATTTGCGTAATTACGAGATACAATTTTGATTAAACATAACAAGAAATAACGTAATGATCATGTTTAAATGAATATTCTGCTTTATTAAAAGGGAGCATATTTTGATCTATAGATATACGAGTATGTATAATACTACATCTTTCTTGATATTAATTGAATTTTTTTGTTACATTTCCATTCAATGAATAAAAAATATTCCTAAATTGATCTTAAATAATGTACATATGTAACTTATACTGTATAAATATTAAACCTAAATAGATAATCCTCTAATAACCATTGTGTTCAATTTAACCGACCTTAAAAAATTGTGTTAAATTACGCATTCATATACGACATTAACTGAGGTTAATTTTAATGAATTTGCTACAAAGTACCCCTGATTAGAAGTGTACATGTATGCACACGTAAATTTCTACGCATGTTATCCATATTTATACAATAAATTTTTTTTTTGATTATTGGGAGTTCATTTTTTAAGCCATATGAAATGATTTTATTAGACAGATTATTGTTGAACAGTGCAATTGTCTAAAGTTCACCTTGTCAAGTGGTCCAAAGTAACAATTTGATAATGATAAATGGATTATTAAAAAATCGTAAATTACTTACCTTCGGCTATTAACATTTGTACTTTTGTAAACTATTTACATTTTTAATTAATATGGACCGTGATAGAGTGAAAGTGAAAAAATAATGGTCGAGTTTATTTTTATAACTCCTATAATCAAACCCTGTGTTTGAAAAGATGATATATGGGTAAGTGCAAATTTATTTGCAATATGCTCAACTCTATGAGTTGAACAAAGAACTATTATTAACATAACAGTGGTTAGAGTGAGGAAGTTGCAATTTCACTTTTTTCCCCTGTAGAGACTAATGGAAGTTATATTTGTTGCAACCACAGCCCTTTATTGCGTAAAAATTTGCACTTAACTGTATATTTCTATAAAATGAATATTTTTAATAAAATCACCCTGAAGCATATGTTTACTTACGCATAATTCTTACTGACTCAAATAAGTACCTTTTATCAAAAAAAAGTTAACTTAGTTGTCTCAGAACTAATTGTCGTTCGTTATACTCCGATAATGGTTAACAGTTAAGTATTACTTAAAATATATCAATGACTGATAATTGCCTGTAAAATTGCCCTTATAATTTTACTGCAGTGTAAAATACAGGGTGTTCACAAAAATATTCTACTCCGACTGGCTCTATATGAATACGTTACTCTATGATGCTATTAGGCATTTTTCAGGTGATTAATAATATAATTATCTGGTGATTTTCGAAACTTTATTGTCTGTAAAAATAACTGTTTTAAATTTACAAAAGTTGGGTGTGGTTTTACTTTTTTAAAGTCAAATTATAAAAAACAAAAACACTTTAATTCTAGTATGCAATAAGTAGGTACTTCTAAAATATCTAATCTTAAAGGAATTTGGTACACTTATTATTTTTTTTGCAAGAATTAAATAGGTCATAAAATAATCACAAAATTTTTACATAAATTATTAAAAAAACTAGAAATTTTATAACACAAAAAATTCAAGATGATAGTTTTTATTTTGAGGATGCAATCATTGATTCTTGTGATTAAACTTTATTTTATTTATAATAAGCAATAGAAAGAAAACATTTAAAATCCACGCTGATGCATAAATTGGTTAAAAAAATAAATAGTTTTAAAAACGCAATTACAAAAATACTGCGAACATAAAACTTGACCCTATACCTACTGAAAAAAAAAATTAAATTACTTACTTGATATAATTTATATCTGCAAATTACCGGTGCACTTTTATTAAACCCAATTTAACTCAGTTTAAGATCATTTTCGAATGCCGTTCACCGCGTACAATAAATATTCTGAGGCGTCACAGTCGCATGCACGCGCGTTCGCTATTAATGAAATAATGAAATTCGAACGAAATTCGAATATCGGTCCCGTTCCTTGGTCCCAACCTGATGCGATGTGGTGTGTGATGTGTGGTTTGGCGATTTGATTTCTCTATGCTCACGCCGTTCACGCCTCTAATTACGAAATCAACTTTGTACCTTCTTCAACAGTGCCTTTGTACTCTTAGTACATATGACCTAATCATATTTCGGTACGAAAATTGTTATTTGCTATCATTCGCTGTGTCTTTCATCAAGCAATATTATTACCGAATTATGTCTTTAATGTGATAAAAATTGTTTTTTCTAAGTAATACAGGTTTGGTTGTGATGGAATTGGTTATTAACTTTTGGGTTGATGGTTATTGGCAGAAACTGATTTATTATTAAACTCTAAACATAATACAAGGGAATAAAAACATTAACTATTTTTATATTTCGGTGATACCTTTTGTATAAGAATAAGGAATTAAAAGTAATGGTTTTTTTGAAATATTGTGGAATAAGTCTTTTTTTAAATTGTCATATAAAACGAAAATATCTTTAGATAGGCAGAAACCGTTAAGCTCAGCTCTAGGAACCAATTATACAGTGTTTTATTTTTATTTGTAATTACTACAATTTTTAGTAACCTTTAGTAAAATCTGTAAAAATCTGTAAAAAAATTACTATTAAATATATCTATTAAAAAGTAAAAACTCCTCATTAGACACTTTTCTACGTATCTTCGTGCTGTATATTAGTAAAAGATTTTGCTTCAGAAATAGATCCATTTTACTATTTTTTATAACAATTGTTTTCATGATTTTTAGTGGGTCTGAATAACTATATAGTTAAAGTATTCATAATTAGAACTTAAAAGACGAACGACTTAACATCGTTGACACATGACAATGACAGACGTCAGTTTTCTCCATTGAAATCAAAAAAATAATAAATCAATTTTAATTAGAAACATGAATCCCCTAATAAAATCATTTAAAACACCAAAACTCTGGCTGAAAAACAATGCAATATTAGTAACAGCAGTTAGAAATCGTAAGTGGACGTTTGCAACTCACAACCACCTAAGGTTATGTACATTATGTAATATTTTTATTTTGTTTCAGACTGGAACAAGGATTACAAGCCTGGACCGTATCCTCAAACCGAGGAAGAGAGAAAGAAAGCTGCTGCTAAATATGGCTTGACTCCTAAAGAGTACGATGTCTACGCAGACGATGGTATGGGATACGGAGATTACCCCAAATTGCCCAGGATATCTATGGATTCCAAGGATCCTTTCTATCCCTGGGACTTTCCGGAATTGAAAAGAAACTTCAATGAACCTGTGCGTATACGAGTACATAAGTTTATTAAACAAGTACTTCTACTTTGTTGATTTTTAGATGCATGTAGAGTTCGATTTATTGAGAGACGATAGATACGATGTCAACCAGAAATTAAAGTATTCAATGTGGATGCAGTTTGCCATGTTCGTTGGTGTTGTGGGAACCTTGGGTACAATATACTTGTTAATGGAAAATGTAAAAATGTTCCATTCTGCAATACCAAAACAGTACCCTAACAAAGGTAAGACGCATTATACATTCGAACCTCTTGAAACTAGAGAATCGTAATTGGTTTTCATAAAGTGATTTATTGTTAAAATAATAGATAATTTTGAATAAATTAACTCTTAAAGGGTTTTGTTGCCGTTTTCTTCAAATATTAAATAGATTGTACTGAGTATTTTGTGAAAATTTACTTAAATAATAGTAGAAAAATGATCACAAAGAAATCCTTATTCCCACTAAAATTTTGTGCATTATGTATAAGCTTGAATAAATAAAAAAGGAAATAAAAAAGTAAAATAAAACGTAATAAAAATAGATTTAATTCAAATACACATATATACAATCATTATTTCTTATTTTACAACATAAAAATGGACAAAATCGACCTAATTTTTTAATAATACTAAACATAAGACTAGGTTTATTGTTTTAATGTAATTAAAGAAATCAAAATTAGGGTACACACAATTCTAAAAGAAATATTACATAAATAATAAATCATTAGTCTTCGAAATGGTCTATGTATACAAATTTGGAAATAATGAACAAATTTAAAGTTTATGTACTAGCTGCTTTTTCTTTTGCATCCATAATAGAATTGTGTGAAAAATGTAAAAACATATTTGTTTTATCCACTTCTATATCAATGCTTTGTTAACAAATCTTTCAAACTATTCAATATGAAAGATCGATTGACTTCGCCAGATGAGAAATGGATAAAATTGAAATTTGAATCACAGTGTATTTTGATTTTCACTCTCACCATAACGCAACCTCTTTACAAATAAATATCTTTTCCGTTTCTTTGCACCACGTGGCCCCGAATTTGCGATCATTATTAAAATTCTGACTAGAACAATGTATTTTACTAATTCGGTTTCCCGTACGGAGGCCTATCCGGTATCCTTGGTGGAATATTGGGCACAGGTCGACTGAAAAGCATATCAGAAACCACAGTGAATCGAATGTGTTTTATACATGAAGACCAACAATGCGAATTTTTTGTGTTCGAAATTGCAATATCCCATTGTTGGCCTAATAAGTGTATTAAAATAATTCACTACCTACGTCCACAGCCAAAAACCACTGTTAGAAGCAATGCTTGGTTTAAAAAAGCTGAACACCATCACCACAATTTTGCATTTTTGTTGGCATGCTGCGGGTTTTTTTAGTACTGTGCTAATAACTTCTATTTTTTGTGGGTTAATCTTCATAACTCTGTTAAAATTGGTGGTATTTTTTTAAAGTTAAGTTACAGAGATGTGAGATTTAATATGAAGGGTTTCACCACAAAAATGCTTCATAACTTTAAATGAAAACCCGTACAATCACATAAAGCGAAATGGTTTTAGCAAAAGTTTTTGCAAGGAAAGTTTATTATCAAAAAAAATATTTTTTTGATAACGTCACATGTTAGTAAGGAAAAATCAATAAAAAACGCTAGTAATGTTAATCCTATATTTACACATTTAAAGAGAACTACATTTAACGAAATGTGCTCTTCTGGTGCACACGTTTTTTTTTCTTTCAAGATATATCTGTTAAATAGTTTTTATGTATTTGATAACCAGTTGGCAAAAAATATATACTTATAATTTCTTATTTACAACAACCACATTTGTGAAAAAATAAACCAAAAGCGTTCGTTTTATGGTTAATTAACAAAAAACCAAAAATTGTATAATAATTTTGAACTTTACAATGTTCATAAAATACACTAATTAGCGATTAATGATGAAATAAAATTACCGATCATTTTACACTGCTTTACTTTTGTATTTCAATATCCCATTTATTACTTAGTTAATTTGCACTTTAGTGACAGTGTAAATAAAGCCTTCATTAACAACAATGATATACTTTTGTTAATGCAACATCCTGTATACGTTCTATATAACTACTGCCAATGAACTAGAATTAATTAACAATAATGTTACAATAGTTATTACATTATCCAAAGCGTCACAATATTTTTAAAAATGACACTTTGCTATTATCAATTCAGAAATTACTTTTTGTGAATTTTTCAGGCAATGTTTGCACAAAAGTTCTCAATAAGTAGTTTCAAAATTCTAACAAGACAAAAAATGTCAATAATTGACTCTAGCACAAAACCATGAGATGAGGATTAAGTATGCTTTTAAAAAACGAAATGAGTTTTGTAGCGAATACTATGTGGAGATGAAAAATAATGTTTGTTAATTTAGTTAATATTTTATTACTCTAATTTGCCTAAAAATGCCGTTAACATTACTCGTCAAAATATAGCAAAGGAAATAAAAACAGCATTTTTTAAAAATATACCTCTTCGACACCTACTGGCAATGATTGCATATTTCTAATTATGATCTACAAGTTAGTATACCGAACCCTAGATGGTTAAAAAACTCTTCAATTACGCTGTTAAACAACACTAATCGTTACATCTTTTATATTTTTTTGTTTGATATGACGTACAACTTCATTTAGTGCAAAATATCTACGAAATGCGAATCAACATCGAGAGGTTCAAGAATACAAAGATTAGTAACGAGTACTTTGTCTTGCTAAAAAGTGATTCCCTAATTTTTAATGTTTAATTTTTGTACCTAAAATCACGTTATCAGATATTGTTTCATCGAAACAATTGTGAAATTGTAATAAACGAATCCAATTGCGTTTTAATGCTTGTAATAAAAAATAAATCCTAATTTTACTTGGAATTTAATGAGTGAAAGTGAATTAAAAATAGTAGGTACTTAATAGATTTCGATAATGATTTACAAGTAATTTCGATATTTGTAACGCAATTTTAGTGACAATTCTATTAATAGATAAATAGACATCGATTTTAGGCAATTTATTAATCAGCTCGGAAGAACATTATTATATTTGTATACATATGCGTTACGTGAATGCACAACTTTTCGGTGTAATTAATGCAAACGCTCATAGTACTTTTGCTTTATTGCTACTAACTCTACCACTGGTTTAAGTTATCCTAGTTTTAGAAAGGTCTCCTTTTACGTATAAAAATTAAAAACTTTGTTCGTTTTTATGTTGATATCGTCAGTTCTCCGTTGTTATACGTAAAAATTCCCAAGACCTCCTGGAATGTTATCGTATGGTTTTGGTTTCGAATCACTAAGGCATTTTTTTGTGTTTTTCTCAATATTTACATAAATATCATTTTGAACAAGCACTACGACCGAATAAATATATCATGTACCAATTAAATTTTCAACGCATAAACCCTTTAAAAAACTGCATGTGTACAGGGTGATTATCATTACAAACAATTGTTCGAGTTAAAATATAGATTTGCGGCTAAAAAAATTCTTACATTTCAAAAATAGACAACGTACGGTCGATTTCATTATAAAATTTATACATTTCATTCAAGTAATAAGTTAATACCTTTATCGCCCTGTACATATCATTGTACACCGTTCGATTCAATACAAAAATTCGGATTAAACTCAGAAAATGTTAGTAGTTACTGCCAAACAAGTTATTCAAACGAAGCGAACAAGTAGAAGATGCACAAAGGTTATCAAATCAATACCTGTTAAATGTTTAGTTGTAATGCAATTATTTGTATTGACGTTGATAATCCTTGCGACGGGTTAAAAGAATAGAAGAAAATTAAAAACCAAAAAAAAATTACTTATGCATTTTGAAGGCGTTGGATAGTTCGTTGATAGCGGCATTCGTGACGGCCTTACCGACGGCCATCTGCACCTGCGGAGGCACTGCAATGCCCCCCTTCTGTCCAGCGGCTCGACTACATACGAGACAGAGAGTAACACATCACTTACCCGTTGATTTTTCGTTTATTTAAGGGAATATCGTGGACGCGTTTTACCGCATTTTCCCTTGCACATGCACAATTACGTTGTGAGAACATTGAAAAACCAAATACTAGGAATATACACGGTATCTCGTATAGGAACCGACATAGAACAGGTAGTAAAGGGGGCCCAAAATAAGTTGTTTAACCCAACAACTCAAAACAAAGTTACATTCCTGAAAAGTGGAGTTACAAATAAAAAAATTAATATCTCAGCAATACTCAAACTTGAAACAACTATCATATACGTTATGATGGTACTAAGAGCACTAATCGATAGTTAGGAGAGATCAATTGATCTATTTAAAAGAATTCATCAAGGATGAATTTTTTATCTGATGGATGATATTAAAAATTATTAGTTCATTTCATAGGTAATTCCAAATTAAAACTTTTATTATTCCTTTTGTATGTTAAAATTCTTTGTTTCTGATGAAAAACTCTTAAAAATAAAGTCATAGTATACACCATCAATGTTACTTAAAATCGTCGATTTATTCAGAAGTTGGCTGTATTAAAGTTGGGTTAATAATATTTTGGGCTTCCCTACACGGCCCTGCTGTGTCGTTTTTTATACGAGATTTCCTGTATATTATTTTGGAAAAAATCATAATGTGGTAAAACGCTTCAGCAATTTCAAATACATCATTCGTTTGGCAGAAATAGGACTAATTTTCAATGGAATACTTTATTTTTCACCATGTACAATTTTACTATTTAGGTACGTTTAATTAAATGAATATGCTTCTATAATATAAATAAAAAAATAATATAAATTTAGGTAGAAACAAAAAGGAACTAAAACAAAATGTAAATTCGTAACAACTCTTCGCCTGTAAATGCGCAATTTAGGAGGAAATCTCTCTAAATTTCCTTGCACTGCCGAGTAATTTTTTTATTCTATCTTTAATGCTACAAAAAAACAATTCGTCAATGCTCAATTTCGAATCGTTTCGAAACCGTAACAAAGTTTCGGTCCTTGTAGCAGCCCTATTTCAACCACTTTTAAAGTAAAAAAAATTAGGTGTGGAATGTCTTTTTTTAAATATCGGAGAGATCAACTATGGCCAATAAACAAGAAGCACACAATAATCAACAGTCATCTAAGCAAAGAACGATAACAAATAAACTATTTGAAGAATTTAACTTTATAAGTTTAAAACTTTCCACTAAAGGGCAATAGTGAGTTCAACTATTCTCTCAAAAATATTGAGAGTGCAACAATTATGTTATGAGTTGAACAATGAAATATTATTAAAATAAGAGTGGTTAGAGTAAAGTTGCAATCATACAATATCACTCTTTCTTTTTTCTTTAAACGAGACTAACGGAAATTGTCTTTGTTGTACCCATAGCATATATGTATTGCAAACAATTTTGCATCTACCTGTATAATGTAATAGGTACATTCAACAAATGCCATATAATTGTTGCGCTTGGGCATAAAGTTTTAAACTTGCAACAAGTTCCTGTATTTTTGAACAAAATCATTCTTTACTAAAATGACGTATTTTGGACAATATACAATGTTTTAAGCATATCTTTACATGTTCAACAATATTATTTAATTTTTTTTTGTTAAATTTCTAATTTGAAGCAGAACAGATATAACAACATAGCACCCTATCTTTTATAATGTCAACAATCAGCAAAAGTTGCATAAATGATTTTATTATTAATTAAATTAAAACTAAAGTCTTCGTTTTTCAAACTTAAACCCTGTACTTACGTTAGAATAACGCGGTTATTCCAACTTTTCTATGCAATACTTAAAAAATTAATATTAGAATACTGGAAATACTTAGTATAAATTGAGTATTAAAAAATATAAGGAACGATAATACAAAAAAATCAATTATGCAACTGGTTTGTCATTTTCAATACTTTAGTTTAAAATATAATATATATGTTCATATATTTTTATACTGGAAATTTAAGGTGACTACTAATATTAAATGCTGATTTTAAAGGTTCTTTAACGCCTCCTGAAAAGAAAACCACAAGCTCAAAACAACGACACCTGTGGTCAATTTTAAAGAAAAAAATACAGCATTTTGATAAATGTCCAATATTATTTATAGCCAAAAAATATGACTACCGAAACAAATACGAATCTAATCCAACAAGTTATTTTTACGAAACCTAAAAAATTGTATATCAAACAGGCCACAACAAAATGATGTCAAAATTCAAAAATGTTTCCTAAAAAAAATATTCAGACATTTATGAAATGCTATGCGTGAACGATTCCGTTCGAAATTGTGTTCAAATGTGATAAGAGATTCGTAAAAAAAATAAATCTACTTACGTGGGTATCAAAGGGGCGGGCAAGGCTTGTCCTCCGGGTCTGCCGGGAGGCATCGGTGGTGCGCCGCCGCCAGGCCTGTTCGGAATCGCGGGGGCTGGTCTGCCACTACTCGGTGGCGGCGGGGGCGCTCTCGAACCCAAAGAACCTAAAAAGAATTTACAATACTTAACACTTGCACTTTACACATCAAAAAGTGTGTAGATTTCCTCATGAACAATACTCGAAGTCTCGATTAATCAAACATACCGCTGGATCCTACGGCGCTCATTTGCGGAGTGGCTTTTCGAGGACCTCCGGGACTCGGCGGGGACAGCCTGGGATTTTCAAGGCCACTGGCCAGCCAGTCGTTCTTCACGGGTGGAGGAACCGGCGTGGAAACTGTAGCCATGGATACGTCGCCGATTATGTTCAATGCTTCTTTGCAAGCGTGGTACATTCGCAGCATTTCTTCGCGTTTCTGAGCCTCTTCGGGCGCCTGTAAAAATGATACTTAGTCGGTTTGTTGCGTATGGAAACGTTGAACAACGGAATGTGAATTATGCTACAAAATTAATCACCAAATGGTCAAATTATAGGTAAATTTAAGGACGCCACTTCAGGGTATTTTTGAATAGAAAAACATAGGTTCAGAAATTTTAGTAAGATTCAAATTTGGTTTAATTAATTGATTTGAATCTTTTTTTTACCTAATATAGAGACTCCAAGCAATGATATCTTCTATTTTTAATCTCACCTACTTCATTTAAGTGAAATCAAACATGGAACATCTACTAATTAAACTATTCTCATCCCATCTATTGTGTGAAAAACTTAACCAAAATAATTGTAAACGTTTAAGAAGAGTTCCATATTACCCAATGAATTATGAATTGACTTTGGCGGCCTTAATTAGTGAATTAATTACCTCTTCCATCATTTGAGCCTGATCTCCGCTGGCGTAAATGTGAGCCAACAGTTCGCCGTTTATAAAATCTTTGGTGTGATTGATAATCATGTACATGACTGTTTTGGGTACCAAATCGCGAGTAGTTTTAGTTACAATGCGCATGTAACTGTCCACCAAATTTCTAATCGTCTCCACTTGGCGTTCCAACTGAGGATCCATCGAACTACTGCCACTTTCGCCGGAAGACTAAAAAAAAAAAAGAATAATAACCATTACAGCAAACGATCACGAAAGCATTTGTAATATTAAATTCCAGTATTATCAATTGAAATTTAAAGAAACGTTCGCTATAATTTGTATCTCGGTGGTGTTTCGTTAATACCAGAATTTAAACAAGGTTAATATACACTACAAGTTTGTTTGAAGTCCAATAGGTGCACTTGGTGTTCACTGTGCTAACTATAACTACAATACTATTGCGAATTTGGTAGGTGTGATTTTGTGTAGTGTATATCTCTGTAGTATTTTTTGTACAAACCTGACCAGTTCCCTGCAGCAACCAGAAGCAGAACACACAAATACACACCAATTAGGGGTAAAATAGTATTTACGTGATGAAATAATTAACCAATCGGTTATTGAAAATAACTAGCGGATAGAGATACTCTTAAAATTTGGCAAAAAAGAGGAAAATAAAATTAATTAGTCTATTCTACCACCACCTTTTGCTGTAAGATAAGGAAAAATTCACACGCAACCAGATTTTGAAGCGATAGGGTAAAAAAGTGAACAGCACAAAATAAAAAAATACCAAAAAAATTAACACTTACATCTGAAGAATTCTAAAAAAAGAAAATATAATTAAATAAAGAGAGAATGCACACTTATTAAAAAATACAGGTTACATTTAATACACCAATTTAATATCGTTACTTACATCTTCTCCGTTAAGGGTATCAGTTTGCTTTTCCGGATAAACCCCAGCTCTTAAAAATGACGCTTTCCACGAATCCACATCGTCCAAGGTTTCACAACTCAATTCAAGTTGCTTGTAATCCTAAAATATCGTAGTACAATAGAATATTACTCTCTTACTTGTTATTTGTAAACAAAACTTAAGAAATTATAAACTACTACAGAAATATCTTTCTTACTTTGTATACATTCCTGCCGTCTGGATTGAAGATAGCAAACATATGCCTCCTCGACATGAAACCTTGTTCAATGTCTCTCAATTTCAAACCGTCCAAAGGTAACATGTACTTTTTCTCGCGCTCTTCCTCGTCCTTGTACCAAGAAATGCTCTCCGACGTTAAGACGAACCAATAATCCCTCGAACCGCCCTTCATGATACCCAAATTGTGGATGCACATGTAACCTTTCCGAATCACCTGGTTGCCCAAAGTGCCTCGAGTTCCTTTGGCAGTCGCGTTCTCCGATTGACTCTGAGCACTAATATAGAACATTATTAATAAGCGTTCGTGAAAAAATGCATCGGCAACACGTACTTGGCGAATCCGATAAAATCTTCGTGATTTGTATTCATGTAAGCTAGCTCGCAATCGATAAGCAAACACAATTGTTCCTTGCAGTGTTGCTCCCTGCTTCTAATATGCGTGGTTACGATTCTTTCGATTTCCTCTCGTAAGCGAGGATAGCGATTCATCTGAAAATTATCGAATCTGTTAATAACAAAGCTTGTACAAATGTCGTGAAATTCACCTTATCGGTACACATTCTAACAACGTTCGACAGCTCCTGTACAACCAAATCCACACACTTCAACGACGGTTCTTTCAATCTGGATATTTGCTTTTTAACGATTGCCTCGAATGCCATATCGGGCGTGAATAATCCAACTCTTATACCGTGAATGTTACGAATGGCGAAAGCGATCTCTCTGCGCAATTCTTTCTCGTCGAATTCCATTTTGACGATTTCGAAGGGAAACCTCTCGTGGAAGAGTCTGTTGATTTTCGCCCCGCCAGACAATTCCATGGTGTTAATTTGGGCCGAACCCGAACCTTCGATGGTTCTGTCGAAGTCCACTTGAAGCTGTTGAATCATTCTAAAAATATATTGAATTAATCCTGTATTCTCAGTAATTATATCAAATTGACTCACTGTAACATCGCTTTAGTTTTAATAGAAGGATCGTCTGGTCTGAAATGCTTGAATTGTTCGACTTCTTTCTCCAGTTGCAGAAACTGCTTCTGTAATTTGTCTCTTAAACTGGGCAGAGTATCTCTAATGTGATTGGTGAGTTGCTGATTGAGAACCCGTTGTAAATACGGAGTACCCAATCGTTCTGCAATGTGCCGATACGAAGGGTGGCTGAAGTAACAAATACGTTAAGACCACATTGAGCAAGTACTTCCTCTGATTTATACCTTAAGAAGAATTTTCTCTCCGCTGCCAACGCGGCGTTTATGTCTTTTCTGCCTTCTATGTCTTTTTGGGAACGATTAACAACACCAATATATCCTCGTCTGAGGGGTAACAACTTATTTTCTAATATATCACGGGCGTCTGTTCCTTCATCCATAAGATCAAGCTTTGTAATTACTCCGATAGTTCTTATACCTTAAATGTAGTGTAATTATGCATTGAAATTAAAATGGTACAACGAGGGTATACCCTGAGGATCGACTTCTTTGGCCAATTTAAGAGCGTCTGAATTGGCCAAATCAGTATTAGCTGGAGTCACAGCAAGGATCAGACAAGAGTCTCGTTTAATAAACTGCATAATCATTCCTTTTATTTGCTGCTCGATGTCCAATGGTTGATCACCAATCGGAACTTTGGTCAATCCGGGCAGATCGATGAGCGTCAAATTAAGGACTAAAAATTTAAGTATTATAGAGGTTTACATTCAAAGGTATACAGTTATGGTGTTCTAAAATAAATCATGAATTTAAATGTTCAATTATCCTTACAATAGCTTCAAATAACTAAGCTTATCGCGATATTGAATTGACAAAAAACGTAAAACGTAATGAGAATTTCATAAATTCATGTACTCTTTAGAAATAGGTAATTGAAATTGAAGAGTTCCAAAAATAGGGGATTAAATATTTTACCATTTGGCGAGTATACTCTCAAGTTAATGGGAATGTTAGATATGCCTTTATTGCTTCCAGTGACTCTATCCGTTTCCGATTCAATTTCCAATCTGACCTCATTGAAATCAACGAATTTCTTTCCTTTACAGTGGAGAAATTCAGCGCATTCTGAAAAAGTAATATGCCCATAAGTGAAATTAAAGGCAATAAACTGTATTAAAAAAACATAAAATAATTTGTAAACAAAAAATCTCGTGTATTTTTTAATAAATAACAAAATAACATTATGTGTTTTTATAAACTAGCATGCACTCGTAGTACCAGTCAATTAAAATGGAAACAATCCCAAGGTATGCAATGCACGCTACTATCAGGTCAATGATTTCAACCTTTATTTATTAAAAAATAATAGGTAGCTCTTTAACTGACTCGTTTATTTTAATAATCTAGTAATAGTTACCAGTATTTGCGTTAATCAGCTGTAGAATAAGAGGTCGACGTGTAACGATACCAGATCCTCTAGGAAGGAAGTCTCTGAAATAGATAATTTTATCAATCGGCTGTATAACAATAAAATAAGAGCAAACATTTTAGAATGACAATGCATGAAGCATTGAATGAATTGTTTTATATCTGAAAAAAATTAGCTGTATAAACCTATTAGAGGAGTATTGTACATTTAGTATCGATATCGATAACTTTGTGTAATTATTAAAAAGCAATTTAAAGAAATTAAATATTAAATTTCATGTTTTATTTATTATTTAAAATTGTGTTTAATAACAGGGCTTCGACGAAAAATCCAAATCAATTTTCCAGCAAATTTGACAGGTCAATACCCAGGTCATTGTGTCAGAAGTCAAATATAAAATTGATTTTGTAAATCTAATCAATCAATACGCTAATACAGCGAGAAAACTGGCTCGGGGACGATTAAATATTATTAACTATTTACCTTCCGACGAAATTTTCCAAAACAGAACTTTTTCCAGCGGATTGTCCGCCCACCACAGCGATCTGAGGCAAATCTAAAGTCATATGAACTCCCAGTTGTGTGAAAGCATCTTGCAGCTTATTCACGATGGGAATAAGCTGCTCCATTCCCAAATTCCCTGCCATCGTTAGGCCGGAAATTTCACATAAACTATCGAAAAATCAACGAATTTTATTCACCACCTCCGCGATACATCAATGAACATGGCCGATAACAAACTGAGCGAATTTTAAATGCGCATGACTCATGCAGTCTTCTTATTTTTATTATCCAGCTGATTTTTTCCTTTATTCGTGCTTTTTAATGACAGCCGTTCACTTTTTGCGGTCCTTTAGTATTGCATACGCGACAAAAATTGTTCTTATCTAAAATGTTTTATCTAAAAATGATAAAAAACAGTTGTTAGGTTTTTAAATATTTTAATTGTCAATATTCGTGAGCATGCGCATCGCATTTGATAAGCGCAGTTGCCTAGGTAAAAAGAATTCCAGGTGAATTTTAAACATGCGATTTTTATAAAGCACGACTTTATCTGCTGGTTTACTAGCACGATTTTCTAATAACAAAATGTTACATATATAAGTACGCTTTAATTATTAATAAATACACGAAAAACGTAGATTTGAAAATAATGTGAAAATCTATTGTGGCAACGCTGCAATTTATCGATTTCTTTCAAATGACATGACATTAATGACATGACAGTGACATTGACGTTTCGTACTAACTAACCTCAATTTTCACAATTGAGTTTTCAAAGATTTCACTAAAGTTTAGCAAGTTTTTGCGATGATACACAGCTTATTCATAATAAATTCACAAGGGTAAGAGATCTGTGGCTTTGTAGAACTTATCGCTTAACTTTATCTGGTTTTCTAGTGACGTTTTCTTAGAAAAACACTGGAGGAGTATAATTCCAAAATCAGTATGTGATTACTATTTAGAAGCTCAAAGAGCTAATGGAAACGATATCAATCCCGTTATTGCAACTCCTCATCACTATTTGATATCTATACAAAGAGGCGGTGTTAGTTATGTGGCTGTGTGTATGGAGGAAATACAGCCCCTATTTGTGATAGAATTTTTGCACAGAGTAGTAGATATTTTCCAAGTAATTAAGAATATATCAATAAATTTATGATTGACAGTGAACTATACAATTTGTTTTGCAGGATTACTTTTCAGATTGTACTGAGTCGATAATTAAGGAAAACTACGTTGTAGTGTACGAGGTATTACAAAAAATATACTTGTTGTATTATTATAATGAAATCGAATTTAGCTTTTAGATGAAATGTTGGATAATGGATTTCCTTTAGCTACAGAAAGTAATATTCTTAAGGAGCTGATCAAACCTCCAAATATTTTAAGAACAATAGCCAATACTGTTACTGGCAAGACTAAGTAAGTAACTAAATATAACATGATAAAAATTCTATTTAATCGAATTTCCTTTTTAATTTTTTAGTGTAAGCGATATACTACCAACAGGGCAATTATCTAACATCCCTTGGAGAAGATCGGGTGTTAAATACACCAATAATGAGGCTTACTTTGATGTTATCGAAGAAGTCGATGCTATCATAGATAAATCGGGCTCAACCGTGTTTGCTGAAATTCAAGGATATGTACATTATGATTAGTAATTTCTCATACAAGTTTACACAAATTTGGTATTTTCCAGATTGATTGTTGTATCAAATTGAGTGGCATGCCAGATTTAACGTTATCATTCGTTAATCCAAGATTATTTGATGATGTTAGTTTCCATCCGTGTGTTAGATTTAAGCGATGGGAGGTAATTCTAGACAATATTAATTTCTAATAAATAGATAGAACATACATTCAGAGAATATTTTGTACAGGGTGTCTCTAAAAGGTTGGGATATGGCTTAACTATAGACTTCTGGGACAAAAATAAGATGATTTAACCTAACTTACCTATATCCAAAAGTGCATAGTAAAGAGTTATAGGTTGTTAAAGTAGAAAATAAAAAGGAGATTTTTTGATATTAGGACGGAATGGCAGAATGCTTTCTTATGAAAATTTGTACAGAATATTTTTATTTAGTGACCTATTATTAAGTCCTACAAGTCCTTACTATCCACTCTTGGATATAGGTTAAATGATTTTATTTTCGTCCCAGAAGTCTGTACTTAAGCCATGTCCCAACCATTTAGAGACTGTAAATTTGGTTTAAAAAAATTGTTTTTAGGGTGAAAGACTACTTTCGTTTATTCCTCCAGATGGTAATTTCAGACTGATGTCTTATCACATTAGCAGCCAGAGTGTTGTAGCTATACCAGTGTACGTCAGGCACAACCTCTCGATCAAAACTGGAGAACAAGCAAGATTGGATTTAACTGTAGGCCCTAAACAAACCATGGGCAGAACTGTAGAAGGTTTGTTCACTAACCTTTTACAATCTATACTTGGCGCGTTTGGAAGACGGAGTAATAAACACATTAATCAGCCGAAGTCCACTCGGGGTGTAAACGAGTCGCCGTTATCACTCACTCCCCATTGGCCAGCCTAAAAGTTGATACTCTGTGAATGGTTTTGAGTAATTGTAGGCGATGTGCGAAATTTCTATCGATCGAATCGATCATTGTACAGGATTTTGCCGTACAGGGGTAGGGATATTTTGGAACCGCCTGACATTTTTATTACTCCGTCTTCCAAACGCGGCAAGTATACGACTATATTTTTATATTGGATAATATATTGCAGGTGTTAAACTGGAAGTATTGATGCCGAAATGCATTTTGAATTGCGTTCTAACTGCTAATCAAGGAAAATACAATTTTGATCCGGTGTCTAAAGTATTGCATTGGGATATTGGGAAAATTGATGTTACAAAACTACCCAATATTAGGGGATCTGTAAGTAATTCGACAAAGAAAACAAATTCTGTAATTAAAGTTTACTAATACATTGGGACTCATATTATGTTCCGATTCTTTAGAGTTATCTACAGTCTTTACAGTAATCTCAAACAGAGAATTATATCTTTAATGACCCATTTTTAGTTTAGTAAATAAAGTAATAGGTTATATTCAAATAATCAAAACACGGTAATTACATTCTGAACTAACACTGTAAACCACATTCTAATATCTAGGACCACTCAAAACATAATCTTCTTTATAAATAGCCATAAACAATCAACTCTAAAAGATCAAAGATTACTAATAATACAAAATGAGCTATATTTGTAGGTTTACTATAGACAATGGCCCGTATTCAGCGCCTCACTTTAATTTTAACGTGGCTCTAAAGTCGCGTCTATCGCTCGTAGTTACTCCATAACAACAACAATATAAATTACTGTCAATTGGAAGAATCTCCTTAGTTACTCCATAACAACAATGTAAATTACTGTCAAGTCAAACACGCACCTGTAACAAAAAAAAGAGTGCTGATTTCGGATCAATGCACTTTTATCCCACTGTTTGTTAACTGCTGATTATGTTTCTTTTGTTTCAAGGTTTCCTTGGCTACTGGCTCGAATACTGCAGAAATTAATCCATCGATCAACGTCCATTTCACGATTAGTCAACTTGCCGTTAGCGGTCTTAAAGTGAACAGATTGGACATGTATGGCGAAAAGTACAAACCTTTTAAGGGAGTAAAATACATAACAAAAGCCGGCCGATTCCAAGTTAGAATGTAGTTATTATCATGACTCTTTTTTACGATTCTTATAATATATTTTTTTATTATCCTATAATACATATTTATCTGATGTTGTTAATATTATTTTACGTTATTTCTGATGCTTTGTGTACAATGAAATGTTAGGCATGTATTCAAAACACACAGGGGAAAGTCGTTAAGTTTCCGTCAGTAAATCATTAAAGATAACAGTGGTTGACAATCACTGGATAATAGTGTTATTGCACTAAAGCAAATATTTTGCAAGTGCATTTCGCTGCATAACAATTTTTGGATTCGTTGACTTAAGGATTTCTCCTCCATTCGTTTAAAATTATGTTTAAATAATCATCAAAATCACCGATCTCTTTGTAATGGTTCAAATTTTCAGCCTAACTGTAATTTTTTAAAAAGATATTTCATGTTGAGTGATTGTTTCATTACAGAGTCTAAGGCCTAACATTTTTATCATACCTACTTGATTAACGTGTCTTTTAGTCACTATGGACCTAGCACAGTATAAAAACAATATGCTTTGGTCCTAGCATACCAGTTTTAAACAAAATGATGGTCATTTTAGTGTACCCATCGATGGCCCTGTGTAAATAATAGGCATATAATATCTGCTTGTCTGGGTATACCTCTTAGAAAACTGACCCAAAGTAAAAAGAATGTAAACACGGATATGATACTAATCAGCCTAAAGACAAAGAAAAGAAATTTATTCATTTAAACTAGGTAGGCTTTGAAAATGTTGATGATTTTAAAGGAAATAAATATGTAGTACCCATATTTGTCAATATAAATACATTTTTATGCAGTATGCACTTATACATATTCAAAAGCTAGTGAATTTCGAAGAAAAGTGACGAGGTTCTTTAAAGATTTCGACGCGCAAATGTTAGAATCGGACAATAAACATGTCGCTTCCTGTTAGTATAACTCGCGAGGAATTTAAAGATGACCGAGTCGAACAACTTTATCATTGTCACCGAAACCCGAAAAAATATCCCAATTAGAATGTCTGCAAGCGTCCTGCGGAGTCGTTCTTTCATTTTTTTTTCTCGTATTCTTTTTATTTGCATCGGCTCGGTGATTGCAGAAAAGCTATAAAAATCGAGTTGGCAACAGAATTTTTCCACATTATTTACACTTTGAAGAAGGTGGCCATGACCCCCGGTCGGAATTCTCACAGCCACAGCCGCCTAAGTTCTTCTTCGGGCACAGCTTGCTTGTTCTACTGCTGTATTTACTGCCTTTACCTGTCTCGCTTTTCTTCTTTCTCTGCTTGGCATCTTCGCTTTATTATCGCTATTTCATAGTCCGGGTCCCCATAAAGCGATAAAATTGATGTTCTTTTAATTAAAATATTTACATTCGGGAATTATCAGAAATGCACTATTCAAAGGTTCTTTTTTAATGTTTGATAATTTATGCATTAGCAAATACAATGCTAATTATTTTTTAATGTATTCTAAAAGCAGTTAGCAAGTTCGGGACAAGTACTCCGGGTGTAGCCCTGATTTTTTAATTAATTTAATACACTAATTATTATTATTATAGTCCATATTTCTCAATTCTTGGTCCTATTACAGCTGATCTTGTAGCTATAATAGAAATAAAATTATCCTTTCTTCTACCTGTACCAAAGTATGCTGGAGAATAATGAAATTAAAAAAAATCTATTGGGCCTCCACACTAAATAATGCGCCCATATATGGAATAAGAAAGTCAGTGCCCGTGTCGGTTGTCTGTTGTTGGTTGAGTTTGGCAACTTATTAAGATGATTACAGACACCGGTAGTACCTTCAAATGAATGATGATTAATTTCAAAAAGGGCTATTATTAAACGAGCCTTTTTCACTCATATACGAAGTCATTAGCTCCATTCTATTTCAACAAAAAATTACTAATTATTGTTATAAAATGATTTGGGTGCCTACCTACCTACCGCCAAAAAAATTAGGTGGTGGAATTGTGAAATATTTTGTAATAAAAGACTCTTAAGACATAATATTTTTACTAATTTTATGTCCATTTTATTCTAGAAGTATTATTTCGGTACTATTCCTTTACACGCACAATGAAATCATTTATTTCCTTGAAACAAAACATTTATTTTTCCCATAATTTCAAATCTCAACCATAACTACCATAACAACTATAAGCTATACAGAATAAATATTAAAGTTTTCGTATTCGTTTTATCCACATTTTTTTGGAATAAAACCGAGCTTGTTCCTCCGTTACAAAACGACAACCGATACCCATTAATATGTATAAGGAGCCGGGATTTTTCGAAATCCCATCATTACCATATTACAGTCCGATTCAACGAAGATTGCGTAGCGTATTCACACGGTTGATAAGCCTTCCAGACGTGTGGTTAATAAAAATTAAAGTGCATTCTTAACATAAGTGCGAGATTATTGTACGCAGAAGCGACCGTAACGCGTACGTATACATTTTACTTTATAATCTCGGTATGGTATACGGTAGTCTAACAAGTTGTAGTAACCATAGCCATATGGGGCCATCTTCACCAACAGAACCGTATTCGAAACGGGTACCAAAAATGCTGGATTTTTCAACCGAAAGAAATTTTTGGGACTTCTTATACAATAAGTACCAATGTGGCGCCATAATTTGAGTCTTCTTTGGCCATTTCAATTAGTATTTTGGCACTAATATGACCCCCAACTTAAACAATATATTACATAGCATATGTAACAATAGAGAATGCATATAGTGCAAACTTTTTTTTGATTCAATTAAAAATTACGTATTTAAATCAAGTTTGGTGATTTACTTGATAAGTAGGTAAGTAAATAGGTAATGATTTAAGTAGGTTTGAGTGTTATAAATGGATAAAGCGATTCTAGAAAGTCAACAAATTGTTAATCATTAATTATACGTCATTTCACGTATTAACAATTTCATATGATTCACATTTTTTAGGAACAATGATCGAGCTTGTTTTGTAAAATGGCACGATGTCCAAGAACCAAATTAGTGATATCAAAATTTAATTTATAAGATTTTACTTGTGAAAATTTTTCTTTAATTCTTTCCTATTCATTTATTATTTACATATTTTGCAATAATCATTTTATTTATTTCATGTTCTACAAAAACTACAAAACAAAATGATATCAACAAATTCAAGATTTCTTTCTGCGGTTTCAACACCATCAAAAACCATATTGTTCCACAACCGAAACAATTATCATAATTTAATTTATCAAAGTATTTATAAATCAACTGAGTTTCAACTGAGACCTACTTATAAATTTGTTTTTCCTCTTCGTAATGCACTAAATTTTGGTTTGTATTAATTTATCTGCTTCTCTTAAAAACACGATAACATTAGCGGACGCATGTAATTTTAAATTTAACATAACGAAAATATTAAAACAATAACATTTATCTGCATCATATTAAAACCCTATAACGAAGAAATCCTATGAAACACCAAATTCTATCTAAATTGAACTCATGTAAGTATGTATGTATGCAAACGTAGTTTTTATTTACAACAGGAGTAATGAAATGACATAACTTTTTATAGATACAATGCGATGGAAGTAGCTGTATACAAGACCTGCGCGACTTTGAATTAAAAACTATTGCGCATCTTAATTACATTAGTTTCAGTATAGTTACATTACTCTAATTTGTTGATGTAGGTGCCCAACTGAATTGTATCTTAACAGTAATGAAGTTTAGATCATTCGGATACGCCAATGAATGTTGAACAGTTTTAAATTCCAAGTTCTATAATCGCTTATTGAATACTTGACCCTTTGTTGATCTTTTAACCAGTTTATTGAAGACCAATGGCACAAGATAGGATAGGAGCATTCCTTCCAGTTAAGAAATTTGTCATATTTAAATGCACATGGCAAACAGCACAACCTCAATTTGTTCGTAAACATTGAACGATGTGTTTCTTTTACTTTCGAGAGACAATGAAAGTTTACAATTTTATTATCACTCAACGCAAGTTTGCGTTAATAAAAATTAACACAGTGTAATTACATAGATAGGAGCATGTAAAAAATAATATACACCTCCACATTTTTCGAGATATAAGCTGTTTCAATGCAACGTATTGTGTTGCATATTTTATAAAGCGAAAAATATTTTTATAGGGGACCTAAAACCACCAGAAGACATACTCCCAAGTATTAAAGGAATGACAATGGCAAATAAAAATTCCACATGGACCTGAACTGCAAACCGTAAACTAGGTATCTTGTTTTTATTGCACGGTCTTCAATCAGAATCCCAATTTGATTTTAGAGTGTATATTAATCTAGAGATAAAAATCAGCAATCAGGCCATATCAAAAATCCATCATCCTAAAAGTTGCTGTCGATAACTGAAAGTTAAATCCGCATAACTGCGACTGGTTCCTCTTCGGCGTCCTCCTTTTTGTATTCTTTAGCAGTCCAACGTTTCAAGCAGGTAGTCTAATGATGAATAATGACGCGGGCATTCGAGATATTTCTGCATATTCGCCGGTGATAAAATTTTGCTACCAACCACAATTGCCGCTTGTTCCAAGAAAATTTATACGATTAATAAAATTGTTAACCTGCTCCTCTTGCTATGCATTTACTACCTTTATAATAAGAGACGTAACAAATTAACAAAGGAAGTATCCTCGAATATTTAATTGCTTTATGCATATTCATTGGGTATGATAAAATACATTATAAAGTAAAGTATATTGAAAATACAGCTAGATATTTATTGAATCAAATGCTACGTGAGATTATAGCTTCTTTAATTCCACCTCTGAATCACATTTGATGCGATGGTTATCATGTTATCAGGATTCAGGATAATTGACGCCAGCAAATTAAAGAGACAGGAACTTCTTTACCGCGATATATCACAGAAATTCTCCGAACAATAAACTGCTTAGTGCTGGGAAAGAAGGAGATACCTGCTAATATTAATCATCGTAAAATTTAAATAGAAATTTCTACGGGGCAAAAACCCAACGAAATTGGCAGGAGATAAAATTCAGCAGTCTGGTGCTGCTGCTCGATGTCCGCTTTTGTGTTGACGAGACACCGCAAGAATACCAAATAAGACGATAAAAAAAAGCCAAGACATGGGCCAAAAACCGGTACCTACTTATTCTTGTAACATTTAGGTATACCGCTACGTGTTTAATCTATGGCACGCAAACCGCGTATAGCAAGTGATAGAGCAGCAAATTGGCCTTGCTAAAATTAGGAAACTGATTGTTGCGTATAACTTTCGTAGAAATATTATGAATTAAATGTCGGTCACAATAATATGAACAACAATTTGAAGAGATTGTTAATGCAGTTTTTAAGATTTGTCTTGAAGAAAAATAATTGATAAATTGCATTTTTGTGTGAATGCGCATTGTTTTACGTTCGTATTATCAAGCAAAAATGGGATCTAAACAGGTCCAAATGTGTTTTGAAAATTCGAAATCCCTTACCTATAGAAGACGCAAAGACAAACAATAAACTAATTCTGTTTTGCTTTCGAATTTGTTTTGCTTCGATTCGGCTTTAATGTTCGCCTGTCGTCTGTCGGTTTCTTCTCTTGTTTAAAATTCACCCGATCAATTACATCATATGATCATTCCTTATCTAGGACCGTACGCGGTGTTCGTTTCAAATATTCCAACTTCAGCGTTTTAAAATAAACAACCAGTGATCGGATGCCATGCCATACACACACCACGTGGATAAAATTAAAAACTCTACATATGCGTCCATAACGCCTTTGTTTGTTTTAATTAGCCCCAGCTTCTGTATTCTATACAGAATGTCCTATAGGTTCCATTAAGCTTTCTGCATTTCTTTTATTATCTCCAGTGTTTAATGTGCCTAAATTTGTCTTATAGATTTTCATAAATTGCATATTTTTGTTACAAATCTAATGGAAGGTAGTATTAAAATCTTAGCACAGTGAGTACTGAGAAGAAAGCTTAGAAAGTACAAATGTGAAGCTATTGAAGTTGCTAATATTTAGAGTTACAAGACATAATCAAACACGTGTGTTAAATAAACCACCGGTGACATTTTTATCGGCGAAGACAGTCAGTATATACCGTTATTTGCTCATAAAGCGCTGATTCTCGTATTTCGAAGTCTGTTCCTTTGATGGCATAACTATCAGGTTAACGCCTTGCTGACTTCAATAAAATACTAATATTATTCTCGGAGTTATGACCAATACCACACGTTCTGCATCCATCATAATAAATTATTGTCCGCGAATGGCAATGGATTTGTTGTCCTGTTACTTTTCTACAAGGCGACTCAAAATGCTAATTGCATATTTGGTAAAACCGTTATTACATTACTATTATTACATCGATAAAAAGTCACACAAATACTTGATTCCATTATAAATCATTTTTTACCAAGAAAAGCTTATAAATCACCAATAAAACAGTAATAATATACGTCGCCATTATCTCCACACCTACTTAACAGTGTATGTAGGTATATTAAAATTGCAATTTTTATTATTTGTTGAATAGAATTTTTAGAGGACAATCATCCTAGGAGATACGATAAACTAAACGGATATCCTCTTATGGTTCTCATGTTCACTGATGCACTTGACCCTCGCATTCTTCTTATGCGCCGATATTGTGGATAAATAAAAGCAGGTTCATGAAAATAGTGAATTAACGTTTGTTGAATAATTGTTCTGTAAGGATAGTTATTTTAACCTTCAAGGTGAGATTTCGCATAAACTGATACGCATTGTTACTTCACAGAAAACCGCAGACTCGTAATCACGTATTAATGATTCAATTAAAACGATAGAGTACGGTTAATTGGAATTGCGGCAGTGATTGAAAGCGGTTTTGTTTATATTTAGAAGAATCCTGGATTTCTAAAAACCCCATAAATCTATCGCAAATAGATAGGAATGGAAAAAGTGAAAACTGCAAGTATTATAGGCATTAATTATTTTCCTATAGATACAAAGAGACTTTTGGTATTTTGAAAATATGACAGAAAGTGAACAGGACTGAACAGGAGTGACAGGAAACTGACAGAAAGTATAACTTGGTAAAACAAAATTCACTTGCAATCATAAAAATAAAAGTTATGTTGTAATTACCGGATACTTTAGCGCGTTACATGTACAAAAATCGACACTTTCTTATGCCACTTTAGGCTTAAAGGATCCTTTAAAAGTAGATTGAACGAAATCAGTTACATTTAATAAAGAATCCCTTATATCCTATAGTGAAATCGTCCGTTAAATAAATAATAAATATTAATTGTACGAGGGCAAGTCAGTTCACAAACGAAAAACATCTCTCGGTGAATCCGAACCTATTAGAAAGTGAGTGCTTTCCGATCGATTCGACATAGATCGATGGCCGTTATTAAGATCTTACCCGTTCGAATGAATGAATTTAACACAGCGGTTATCCTAAAATTCTATTACTGAAAGAATTTTCGATAACGCCTATAATTATTCCCACAAATGGTTATCGCCCAACAAACCCCGCTTTTTTTAATCTTCGGAATGCGTTTGTTGCCAGATATAAGATACCGTTATCAATGAAGATTTTTACAGCCGATTATTTTATTCATTGAAAGCTTAATTTAGAAGGCTTTCCTTCCAAAATAATTAATCAATTAATTCAACTTGCTTGATTACATTTCTCAAATATAATAGTATCATGGGCAATTGAATAAGTTGGAACACTGTAGAATAATACAAACTGCACAAGATAATAAAAATAATATACGATATGAGATAATGTTCGATAGAATAATGCAATTTATGATAGAATAAAACACGCCATCTAATGAGACTAAGCACGATCAATTTAGAAAATGCTTGGAAGAATGAGATATTTTTCTAATATAGCTAAGCCATATTAAAAAAAAATAAATATATTAAGATAATATATTTAAGAATAAGACAATGCTTGATAAAACAAGTAGCAGGACAATTTAAGTAAACAGAACAATTTACCATCTAATAAAAGTAAAACAATAGATAAAGATTTTGTGCCTATACTGCCTATTATCATTCTTATAATGCCTTATAAATGTCTTATAATGCATTGTCTTATAATCGAAAAGAATAAGAAAATGTAGGATAGAACAAGGAGAGAATATTGGTACCATTTAGAATAATTAAAGAGGCGAAGAAAACTAAAATCGTTTGATAAAAAAATAAACTACGGTTTTTCCTGGATGATTTTCTGATAGTTTTTGAAGAATTTATGAAGAAATAGTTGGCATTAATTTCTTTGATTCGAGTGTATTTGGCGAGCGTTCTCGTCGGAACACCACTGGCAGGTATGTATGCATTCTTGCAACGATGAGGCCGAGGCGAAAGAGCTAGCTCGTCGAGCCGTTCTTCTTTTCGGTACTAAGAGCCGTTTTGTGGAAAAGGTGAGCGGCGGGAGGAGAGGTGGACGGGTAACACGGTGGTTCAAAGTGGGTGGAAACCGGTCGCTGCTGTCTCTGTCTCTTAGGACTCGAATTGTGAACTAAATGAGGAATGGCTGCCTGCCGACCCATTCTTCATTCTTCAACGTTCCTTGGCTCTTTTCGTTTATTAGGTGTTAAGATGCGTGTCTTTTAATGAGCAGCCACGCTCAAAAGTCGGAGTTTCGAGCGATGTGTGTTTACCGATCTGCACGCGTTGCTAAGGCGAAATAAAAATTTAATAAACCTGCTGCATAAAAGAGGGGTCTTTTCATTTACAGCTGTGGTTAATAGCTATGTAACGCGCCTATTAAATCATACGTACATAAGCGACCTTCCTGGTAACAATTAAAGCCTTGATCGAGGCATATGCAATTTTTTTGTACAAGGTGATTTATGAATCGAAAGTACAGAATGAAGATGACAAAATTACGCGGTTTGTTTATTTTTCTAATAATATTTCTAATTTTAACCACACGTTATTTAACCGACTGGACGCGGTTCGCTAAGTAGTAAATAATTAATTTTTTGTTTAAGTTGGAAATTTATATAATTATCCATCCTCGGTTAGATGAAAGAATTAACAAGTACCTATTAATACACACATAACATGTGAAAATGTAAGCAAATATTAGGGGAAAGATTGGCAAAACTGGTAGCAAATGTTATAGTATATAGGCAGAAGGTAATGTACCACATAGGATTGGAATTTTTTTCTTATTAATCTTACCAGATGGAATATTCTATTTGGTTTATATAGTGTAAGCAAGAAAATATTTTAAACCGGACCTGTTAAATTCCTGCATGCCAAAAGTGGAAGAAAAATGAGCAATTTTAGGATAACATTTGATAAATTGTGGCAAATTACATTTGATATCCCAAATATTTGTGGGAAATTAAATGCTTTTGTGCGGAATTAATCAACATCATTAGCAGTTGTATTGATAGTGTAAAATTTCGAACAAACAAAAATAAAATTGTGTTTTCGTAATTCGCATTAGAATAATATTTGCGATTTATTGAACGTTCATTTGAACTTTCAAGTAGAATGATAATGAAATAATTACACGTAACGTAGGATGAACCAAAGGTAATAATTACTACACAAATTATATAATATAGGTGAAATAAATATAGAGGTAAATAATACGAATACCTATTTAAAATTAACTTAAATTTATTCACTTTCAAATAATTCTTACAAACATGAAAAAAAGGCACTTTTGGTTCCGTATTAAAGAATATGTATAAATACAATACATATAGATTAGTATTAATCATAAGTTTGAACACATACTTTTATACAAAATACAAATATAAATATAATAGTAAAACTCTTTTGCTTCCCGACAATTTTTCACTTGGAATCTAATGGGGTTGGCCTTAAAATGTAAAACTATTATCTAAATAGTACTAGCAATCCAATCTATCGTAAATACAAGCAGAATGCAATGAAGTGATTTCATTGTATTTATCTTTTGATAGCCTATTTTTACTATTGATGTTAAACGATCAATGTCGATTGATCACAGAGTTTTTTGCTAGCACTATAAGCATCACATATCCATATTTCCATCGTTAGAGTAATAGGAGCTCTCCACAAATATAGGGTGTCTCAAGAAAGTCATAAGAAAAATTCTAATATTTACAAGTTTAATGGCGCAGCTTGATTAATAGTTCATTTTCACCTAAGCACCTAACAAATAATAAAGTTTATAATACGTTGATAAGGACTTTAACGGGACTCTCCCGCAAATTACCTATTGCATTTATTATTCCCACGAAGGTTTCTATAGTGTGTGGCAAGAAGAGAAACATCGAAATAAAATTTGCAAAATGTAAACGCGTAGAATATAAAAATACAATCTTAAACCGGATCTGCGTAGAAACAATTTGTAACTCAACAAGTGCACTGCTGAAGTCAATTGTAATAATAGCATAAATGTTTCCTCATACGTAGCCGTAATTTGAATCCCTATACTTACACTTTTAAATTTCTATACCTACCTACAGTTATTACGGTTATATAAATTTCCCTTGTTCAAGTGTATTATTTTTACAGTACTACTTTATGTATATACAGGACGGGTTTCTATTGAAAATAAGGTCTCGTATCACATTAAAAAATTGAAATCCTAAATCTGTTAATTTGCAATTATTATCGCAAATGCTCGTTTAACAAATTTCGGATATTTATTCTCATGCACTTTTCCACCTAATTGCACAATAAAATAACTCGATGTGTGCAGAGTAATTAAGTTATAGTGTATTGATGTATGGGTATTGTTCACATATTAGCGAACAAGTTAACTAGGATTTGTAAATATTGTTATGACTTAATTTCAGAGACCCTCTGTAACCTTTTTTACCTATCACAGAGAATATGATTTCGCAAGCTGTTTAGGCAAAATTAAAAACAAATAATTGACCTTTCCATCAGTCTTTTACACAATATCAATATTGTCGAAAAAAAAAGGCAAAATGATGGAAACGTTCGAAGTACTTCGTAGGACATGTATTATTCAGAACGTTTGCATCACTTTAAAAAATAAAAAATACAATACTGCATTAAAAACTTTTTTTTAATTATAGCAAATCTATACATATTAAATTAAACATTTAAATTGCTAGAGAAATGCTTAACAGTTAATTACGCTAACAAAAACTCTCGTATTGTGGCTTTTAAATTATACAATTTGTTTAGCAAAATAATATAATTTCAAAAAAACTCTAAAATTAAATTTAACTATATACACATATACCAGAAAATACTTTAATTCGTTTCAATAACAGCTAAAAGAAGCTTTATTATTGAGAAGTATTCAGATAATTTAAAAAACACAAGAGAATTTAATTGTACAATAATCCATAAATAGCGTTCATCTCGATTACATTGAAAAGGAAGAAGTTAAAAAATCCACAAATTTCGTGAGAATACATACACACAATGCACTTATCACAGGAGTATCAAATTTTTGACCCTTGTTGACACCATTTAGCTGCGAAATCGTACTCATAACTGTTTATTAAAAACTATTTATATAAATACAAAATTGGCAGTTGATTTTTACAAAAAAAAAGGAATAGTAAACAATTTGGAATGGTTTAGTTTGAGCTAGTGTCATTATAAATCAAAAGTTTTATTATTTTTTTAATAATTAAATATCACAGCTACACCTGAAAGGACGCAGCCGGATTGTACAGTCTTTTTCTGTCATCACAGAACTCTCTTTTATCATAAAACTCGGAATTTGACGCTGCACTCCTAGGTATACTCAGAATGTTCGATCAAAAAGCGACTTCTTATAAATTCCAGAGTTACTCTAGATTCTTTACAAGTTACTTGTTCGGAAGGCACAAAACTCAAGTCCTTCGCACGTGACGAGTGAAACCTCACAATCGTAATCATTCAAAACATCTTTATTTACTTAGTACCGGACTGCATTCGATTTGAATATTTTCTTATCTGCGAACGATTAAATGCCAAAATATTTGAAATTTTAAAAATAAATTCGAGCCAGTCGCAACGTATGTATTTTGTAAAAGGCTTAAATCAAAAAGTAATTTACAACTATTAGGTAAATTTAATAATCTTCTATAAGCATCACATGTTCCAGTAGTCGGCGTAGAAACCTTGGCATAAATTATAAAATTGGGTATTATTCTTAAACGATAAATTTCATTCATGAAAATGTTCCTAATAAGACAACTTTTTGTAATTACCTACAATTTCTTACAAGGTCAATTAACTATTACGATTGCAAGTTATTCAATATGTAGGTAAGTACATGATTGAGATGAATCTTAAATACTGATATTTAAAAGCATCTCAGATAGTTGAAATTTATCGTAAATTTTTTAATTTCAAACGTTATCAAACAAATTAGTTCATTAATTTAATAGATTAATGATACAGATACCAATTTTAATATGAATTTTGTACTCAATACTCAAAAACGAGTAAACTGTTTATTTCATTGTAGGAATGAATTATTTACTCAAGCTGCACACCTGTTTCATATCATGTTTTGTATTGAGTTACAATTACATCTCTTTTTTTGTGTCGCAATCGCTGTTAGATGTAAAATTGTTCGGATAAATAAATAAATATATTTAATTTTATGGCCCACACCGAGTATCAGGAAGTAGGAAGTGAAGAATCGATGCAAGGACATCAATAATTACCTTTTTTTGGCATTTTTTTCAGTCAATTAAAAGCGAGATAAATGCCCCAATGTAAATAATAAAATTTTGAAATTAAACGAATCACGTGCGAAAGGACGACGAGCCCTTTTTAAACGACTTCTTTACCTTCCAATTTTTTGGCGAGATCAGATATCACTTCTTTGAAAATGAGCGGATCGATATTTTTACCTAGCTGGTAGAGAACGAACCAGTCCCCGATTTCGCATTTATTGGAGATGGTCTCGATGTGATCCGATGGAGCGATCCTGCATTTGGCCCGGAGAAGGTACAGCCTGATCTTCGGTCCCACGATAACAGCGCATCTGTAGAGCAAAGAGATGCCCGTCAGCACCGTCAGGATGATGAACCAGAACCACAGGAACACGTAGATCTTCTCGTTGACGATGTTGAGCGGCAGCACGCAGAGCCCGTCGAATCTTTGCACCGAACCAGACGGACCGTATTTGTTGAAAGTGCACTTGGTGACTTTCGGAAAGACCTTCGCCATCGGGTCCACCCGATGCTCGGGCTCCATTTCGGTGAACTTGAGCACGTCGCTGCCGTACGTGCTGAACTCGCCGTCCAAGAAGAAGTCCATGAAGAAGATCTGGCCGATCACGTTGACGAAATTCAGCACTTCGCATATGAAAAATCTAAAAGCGTAGAAGTTCTGCATGTGCAGGTTCGAGGTGAAGTAGTCGATTAGAAGTTGCTTTCGGTCTTTCTTGCAGTCTTCGGAGACGATCGGGCAGTTGAGGTCGAGTACCAGCATCTTGATGCGGCCGCCTTCCCAGGTCTTCCACAGGTACCTCGGGACGTAGAAGAGCATCGCCTGGAAGAATAGCACGAAGCACACCCACTGGTAGTACTTGTGGTATTTGACGGTGTCTTTGCCGTCGACGTGACTGGCTACACCCGGCTGGATCATGTCCTTCCCGACGTGACCCGTTAATCTGTCGGGAATCGTGAACGTGGAATATATCCAGCAGTAAGTGTCCATAACGTTTAACGGTATTTCATCAACTATACAGTCTATGGGGTCTCCGATATACTGCCTACTTGTAACTAGAAGAGAGAAAGCCACAAGTATGACCACGGTGGCTTTGTAGTGCAATCGAAAAATGTTGTTGTCTATGCATACTTGGTCGATTTTTAGCAGACCTTTCACTGAACCGAAAACGTCAAACATGGTTCTGTTTTGTTTAACACACTTGCACCGCACTCACAAACAGCAATCAGTGAATTTTTTTGTAAGTATGAAACTTGACGTACACTCGCTTAAACGCCACACCAGATATTTACTGACTAGTTAAACGCAGATGAGCGGTCGAATGAGCGCTTGGTAGGGGACGGAGTGCCCCTCCACGGCGATTGTTTAGCCTCGGCGAGGGGTTAGCAGATGCAAGATGGGAAATAAGTTTTGTGAAACGTTACCGCCGCGTTGCCAAACTTTGCGCTTTTACATTTCAACTACGGAAATTTTTCGCTTTGTTATCTATGCATAATTGCGATCATTATTCAATAGAATTTTTTTTTATTTTTTTATAAATAAAAATACTTCTTGTCTATACCCTTTAATATAATAATTTATTTCCAATCTAATTATTGATTGAAAATAAGTCTGTCCGCCTGTATTTATTATTTCGTCCGGCCCTCCCTCTTAAAAGAATAACCCTTATAAGGGTCGCTACATCGAAAGAAACCCTTATCAATACCTGTGTATATATGATGCTTAAATAAGTAATTAAAAAATATTCATCTTTAATGGGCGTTGTAAGGCTTCTCTGAAACCCACACTGTAGGTATGAGATGTTAATTAGAAATAAAAAATATTATTCATCATCCTTTACTACGGGTGATGAATAATTAATGGTTCATCATTTTTGATGATCCCGTTTTTTGGTATTAAAAAATACAATTTTTATTACATTTTAAACAGTAAATAGAGCAAAGTTTTGGGGATCGATACAGCTAGTATTCTCATAAGTTTCTTTCATTTTTTATTAATAAATTTGAGGAGTTTATTGCCCCCCAACATGGATGTTTTTAGTGGACACTACAGTTAATAGGTCACTGGCCCCCCACTATCTATTTGCGTAGTAAAAATTAATGTGGCCGTCAGCATTAAATAAACAAAGATGTACACAAAAGCAAATTAAAAACATTCGCAAAAATAAAAATAATCCTTAAAACACCTGTTAAAACATATTTCTACTAGAACTAATAATACGCTAACGAGCCAATTCAAAAGTTACTAATAAAATTTGTTCAAACAATAAAACATGAGCAATTTTCACACGTTCACCTACGTGGTTTTTTGTTAATTATTATCGCAAATTATTACATTTCGGTATCTCTATAAATACATAAACCGCGATGATTTACAAAAAACCCGTATGATCGAATTAATACAAGATATGCAATTTATTAGTAATGAAATTTCTTGCATTAATTCAATTAAATGAAATTTGTGCATGGGTTTCTTGGAATTTTCATCTACTCATTTTACCACTCTAATCTACGAAAGAATTGATAATTAAGTAAATAAATAAAAATATTACTAAAAAGGCTTATTTAACTATCTACTTGCATATACATAATTTACATCGAACCACACAGCGATGTGACTCGAGCCATTTATAATCAGCCGATTTTAATAAATTAACGCTAAGGTAATTAATTCAGAGCGCGGCGCTCGAAAAAAAAATCGGCAACACGGCGAGTGCACGGCTCTTCTTTGGTGGTGATTTGTATTGTGCGTCGACTGGTATATTCGAGAGAATGTGCGAAACTTGACCATATATTTGGTGAGCATAAAGCTGACATTTCCACTTCGGCGTCCACCAGGTAAGAATTTTAAATATACAAGGGCCGAACGAAACGTTTGTCGGCGCCGCGTTTAGCCGCTTTAAAATTTAATTGCACGATTTTTTTAACTGCTTAGCGGTACTGGAGGACTTATTGTTTTAATGACGAAAAATTGGTACCTGTACCTAGCACTTATGTTAATTTACTCGCATTGCTCGTGTACTTATTTACTCTTCCTGATGACGGACGAACAATTAATTAAAATAATACAAACATAAAAAATCGAAGTTTCAAACAAGTTGCTAAAAATAATCGCTTGAGTTGAAGATAAGAATCTAATTTTATTTTTATTAATTTGCGTTTTATTGTAATGCAAATAATAAGAAATGTAATTGGAGCTCAATGTAAATATTTTGACTGTATAGAGACTTAAAATTTTATAGACTTTTGCAATGTAATACACATTTGGAGTTTAATATTATTAGCATATTCATTAACCATTAAGGTTTGGCCTTCAAAAATGCAAAAATTGTGGCCCATTGGCTTTAAAAGGCATCAATATTCTGTGCGTATTTGTGTCGGTATTCATTGATATTACATTTTCTCCACACCGCATTGCGAATATATTATTTTCGATCAAACAATACGAATACAACAGATATTATTTTACTTTCATTGTCTGATCATTGATCACAAATTAACACTGATATATTCAAAACGTATATCGTCCCAAAAAATAATTTCCATACGCCAGCTATATTCAAAGTAATTGAAATTTACTGGTTACTTTCGAGCCTTCTTTTCTTAAAGGGAGTTTAAATTTAGTAACAAAAATGAACAGCAGGTTCTAAATTTAGAAAACCTATACAAGGCATATCACAGTTAGAAGTTCAAACTTTAATTCTACTGATTTCAAAAATTAACATGTAAACAACTTGAAGATATACTTATTTTACAAAAATCTTGAATTTCACAACAAGTACTAAATCAAATTTATTCTCCATAAATTAGACCATGATAACCAAAACAATTAAAAATAATATTAATTCTATTATGTTGCATACCTGTATTAGGCATACGAAATATAATTTGATGCAATTAATCATCGTTAAAAACATTTAACAATGTAATTACCTCCGTCAAATTAAAAAAATATATAAAATAAATATTTCCTTAAGATTTTGAATGATTTATGGTATACGTACGTAGTTCCATTAGGTATAGTCCTTTTCAAGATATAGTAGAAAATGACTTTATAAGCTGATGAGTTTACGACTACCCGGTGCTGTTTAGGGTACACGCCGCACTCGCCGGTCGAATCACGCAGAACCGTATTTTAAGTTTGGTACGTTCGCTGCGGCTAAGCGGCGATGCAAAATACTCATTAAATAACATTTCTTAAGTTCTTACCTGGAAATGTAAATATTGTTTACTACCCGACCCGACCGAAGTGCTTCAACGTTCCATTGTATTGGTATTAGGAAAGTCATTACTTTATTGCTATAATCCCTAAGCTCTCACGCCTCTTTTCTACTATATCTTGAAAAGGACTATACTGTCCTAAATTTTTGAAAAACTTTGCATAATGGGGTCATTAAAATTAACCGGTGTCGCGAGTGCTTTGTTTGTAATGAATTAGATTTTTTTTAATACAGGGCCGGTCTGATCCCAAAAAGTACACACAACCTTAAATTTACGACTTCATTGACTTTTTTACTGCCATTTTTGGTATATAAAATAAAATATATCTTTTATTACATTTGCCCATCACAAATGATTTACAATGGGTAGGAATTAATACATTATTATCTAATACTGGGTTGAGCCAATTAATAGAAGTATTTTCAATATGTTCGATAATGTTAGTGTTATTAAATAAATTTAAACACAAACTCGAGAAGCTGTGTTGAAATAATTTGATTAACACTTTATTTTTTTCCATATTCACAGTCTTTAAATTATCTATTAGTAATTGCATTTAATTTTACTAACTTTTTAGGCACTATTTGTTAGTATTTATTTCTATTAGGTAATGAATTGATTATAGCGACTAAGCGTAACCTAATTATTTTAAATTAGAACCAATAAAAATAATTATGTGCTCTTAATTTTTTTTGCCCAAATCAACCTTGAAGGCGTTTAAGAATGAGTACGAAAAGTAACAATTGTAGGTACTGCATGTTTAGGAATTGGGCGCAGTAATTTATTATAGAAAATAAGGTCTGGTTTATTACTTGTTGTAAACTTTGAATGAAATATTTAGACATATCCAATGCACCTTTTTACACTGAATATCCAGTATTGTTATTTTTATTAAACGGTGTAAAGTGTTTATGTCTGTAATAAAAGACATACCTGCTAACAATAGCTTACCTTCTAGTATTTCATATTTATTTGTGTACCTGAACCTTCTGTTAAATAATTTTTCTAAATTTTTTGTTTAGTTGAAGATAAATCCTTTTTACGAAATAAGGTTTAGCCTTGCTGTCATCTTTTTTTTCTATTTAGCTGGAATTCAGCATTGGAAATTATTTTTTATGTACTAATAATAATAATAAACTAGCTAGGAGATATATTTTTGTGGTAACATTTATTAGTTTTTTTATGACCTTCAATTAATTATATAATTTATTGCACTTCCGGGATTATATGGAGTTTGATTTTGCATCTTGTGCAAGTAATAATAACATAATTATACCTAAATTTGACTAAAAATACCATAAGTATTCATTTGTAAAATTTTTAGTGGCTATTCCTAAATTGGTTGATTTTTATTTCATAAAATCTTCCAAAGTAGTTTATTAATTAAATATAAATGTTTATTTAAGTGCTTACTAAATGAAAGTGTCGTAATTCAAAAATAATAATATCGGTTTTTCTAATAACGCGGTTTTGTTTAAGTATTTTGTGCTATTTTCACAATTCAACAGGTAATTTGTTTTTGTTTCTGTTATTTCAATGTACCTACCTAACACAAATCTTACCTACCGATGTTTAAACAAAAATATTCGTTAAATATTTTCAAGTCTAGCTCTTTGTCTGTTCGCCTTGCTTTTACAAACAATGAAAAGTACTTTTAATTACTTCTGCAGCCTTATCTTTGCTTTTATGACAGAATTAAGGCTCATTTTTATGAACCACGAAATATTCGAAAAACTGCTTTTACAATTTAAATATACTTGACAGATAATGCACCACGAAATATTTGTAGAAGATAAACAAATTATTGTGATTTACAAGATAGAATTAACCCTTCTGGTATAGTAATAAATAAAAAAAGTTCTGGTAGGAGGTGAGGAATATTAAAAAGTATGGTGATAAAATACACATGTGCAATTATTGATGGATGCATGTGACTAGCATTTTATGATAGCGTTTTAAATGCGCAATGGTAAGCAAACACTCACAAAGACTAGGATCTAGAATCACCACAAATTTATAAAATTCCTTAGATTATCTGTGAGTGCCCGGTAGATACGGAATTTTATAAAATATTAATGGTGTTAGCTGTGATAATTGCATATTTTGAAACAATACAATTATAATTT